TAGTATATATATTTTAGAAATTTACGTAAATATGTATTATTGTATTTCTTTCTAAAACAATTGCTATGTAAAACCGAAAACTACAGTTTTGTTTAAGGCTTGTACATTTATTTTTATATAAAAAAAAATATAAAAGTTTGTAACAAATATTTCTAAACTTGTAATCAACCAAATGCGCCGCCATCTTGGGATGCCAAAACTGGCTTCAAATAATATGGTGTATACGCTATCCAGTTATATTTTGAGATCAGTTCTGAGGTAAGTCACGGCTGCTCAAATTTGTTTTAAATTAGTTAAAACAAATTTTCAAATTTGTTTTAACTAAAAAAGTAGTTTAAAAAAATGGTATTACCAAAGCAGGGCCGGAATCCAGCATTTTTTGATCTTCGAGATTTACATTTACGTAAAATAAAGATGCTTCTAAACATTTACATTTACGTAAAATAAAGATGCTTCTCGGTTAATCGAGTCTGGGAACAAAAAAGCTCCAAAATTTTTGCTCCCCTTGCCCAAAACGTGAGAGCAACAAGTTGATGAAATATTTTTTGTATTATTTTCAACTAGACTTATATTCATCGAGAAATTTTAAATTTTATAGTATAATTTTTCAGCGTTTAAAAATTATGACCATATAAAATTTGCAACCCCTCAAATTGAGGGGGGGGGGTAAACTCTAAATGGTCATAATTTTTGAACGCTATAAAATTTAAAATTTTATCAATGAATATAAGTCTAGCTAAAAATAGTACAAAAAATATTTCTTCAACTTATTGCTCTCACGTTTGGGGTAGAAGAGGGGGCGATCGTTTAAGGGCTTTTTTGTTCCTAGACTCCAAAGCATCCTTATTTTATATAAGTATATAAAAGTTTGCTCAAAGAAAACATATAAAAATAACATACATAAAAGACCAAAAAAAGTGGGATCCGCCCCTGCACCAAAATTCTTTTTTAAACGGATTTTTAAACCATTACCCGTTTATTTTTGTAAAAACTCGTATCAAAACCTTGTTTCTTATTCGAAAAAGGAACACCAAGTTCCTTAACTCACTCTAAGTTTCTCAAAAAGTAGACTTCTAACTTCTTTCCAATTTTTAAATATTTTTTAATTGTAACATATCCAACTTATACAACAAAATCGAGAAAAATTAATTTTACTTTAAGGGGGCACAACCCCATAAATAAAAAAATCTTTAATTTTGATATTTAAATAATTTTTTCTATTTATTAAGTAAATTCATAATAAAACTAAGATTAAAAAAAAAAAAAAAATTAAAAAAAAAGAAAGGGTTGCCCTGCGGGCCAATTTTTAGGGGGCAAAAACTTAAAAATTGACCATTTTGTGGCAAAAATAATTCAAAATGCAGAAGGTCACATAGAATAAAATTTGGTATTTAACTAGCTTGATGTTAGAGGTATGCAATGAACCTCAAAAACTTAACAACTTACTTATTCCTTGGGGTCGTGCTTTATTTGTTTGAAGGATACAAAAAAAATGATATTTTTATCCCCCATAATGATCGAAAAATCGTTAAATTTTATTGTTAACACATATATTCTTATATTTTTGAGGTTTATTGTACAACCTTGTACATAATAAACAATCTGTCAAAATATGAGAAGTTTTAATCAAACCGTTTTTGAAATATCTTTGCCACAGTCAGGCAAAGTTAGGAAAATGTGGAAATCTTAGAAAAAAAGGTTTAAAAAAAAAAATTATGTTAACTCTATTGTTAATAATAATTATATTTATCTGGAGCCTTTTTATCTATTAAGTATTGCACTGTAGACTATATTCAAATAATAGATGCACTTTATTTATCAAAAGTCAGATTTAATAACCCTTTTCTACTTGCGAATGAATAAAAAGCTAAAATGGTAAAATTTTTTTACTTTTCCCTGTTAAATGCCATGTTCATATAAACAGCAAGTATTACAAAACAAGTATGATAAAACTAATTTGATATAAACATTAAAAACTTCCTGCTCCATATGACAAACCCTCATTATTTTTATTTTCACTTCCCTTACTCTTTTTAACTCCAGGCATGAACTTGCGACGCATCCTATACTTCTCACCATTTTTTCGACTTGCATTTTTTAATCGTGAACGATTTTAGTCTTTGCAACCAAGCTCAGTGTAGCTGCCTCTCTCCATCTGCATTTTATCATATATTTTTAATGTGGCTAAATTTCCAATATTAAAATGAGCAACTGCATCATAAGCAGCAATTTCCAACTGTACTAGTTTTACAAATGTATCTTTTGGAACACGATTCCATATTGTTGCATTGAAAGACTCATTTTGATTCTGAGTTTTGCCATGGAGGCATTTGCTGAGTAAATTTTCATCTTGTAAAGCTATAAAGATTGGTTTAACAAACTTTATAACACTCATGGGTAGTCCTGGTCCTGGTTTATAATTTTGGGTATTATTCAACTTGTCAAGATGATATTGACACCATGTACCTGGCTCCTTTGGACAAAATGTGTGATAATTATGTTCTTTTGATGATGCCACATGAAAAAGTGCAGCCATCACAGCAATCTGCATTCCTTTTAGATTTCCTATATTTGAACGTATTGCAATACCATAATAGTTTTGCAGCTTATCAATAACAGCATCAGTTAACTTTCCTTTCCCTCGTAGTCCCTTCTCTCTCTTTTTTAATTCACGTAATCGTGTTCCAACGCGCTTCTGGACATGGCCAATGCATTCTTGTTTAACCACTTTTGTGCCATCATAAACATTTTCAATAGACAAAAAACTTTTTGAATCCCCATCCCCATAAAACTCAGTGTATCGCATTTTATTTAATTCTATAGATCGATTAAAAATTTTTTCTGTGCCAACCAATTCCATTGATGGTGCAGATCCATGATGATTGTTTGTACAAGTATGGTCTGCTATAAAACTTGCATATTTCTCTACGTTTGAATGTTTCCATATTCTGGCATTAATACAAGCCTGGCAATATTTACTCATTACCTCAATATCTAGTACTCGACCTGTGTCAATAGAAATTGCTGCAACAATACCATTATTTGAACTAAATCCACGCCGCTGCCAAGATACACCTGCATCACATAATATATCTGCTTGACTATCTAAATGAGGCAAAATAGATTGCTGCTGTCTGACGATTGGATCTAGTTTTTTCAATGTTCGTATTTCTTTAACAGCTTGATGCATTATATTTTTGGCAACTTTTTTGATTACAACTTGATAATTAGAAGCAATATTATTGTAACTTTTTTCTGTCATAGGGGGAGGATGATTTAGTAATGCAAGAAATAGTTTCAAAGATTGATAACCTTTTCCTATTCTACGTATACTGTAAAACATTCTACTATTAATGTCGAAACTTTTTGTTTTTGATCTTTTTTTGGAAGTCCAGAACAATTTAAACCAACCACACATAGTTCACTTCAATTCAAGTTCGAAAGCAATTCCTAATTTCTGCTTTTGATTAAGCTTTACTGAATTATGTGAACACTCTGGGCACAAAAGAATCCTAAAAGTTTCAGCTAACAATTCCATATCAACTATTCGGTTGCCTGTAATGTTTTTTGAACAGCAGTTATTAACAACTTTAACCATTGAACCATTTAACTTTGTATAAGAAACTGTTGTTGCTATGTTGTCTTTATTTGTAACTTTAGAGTTTTCAGTAAAATTTTTAGAGTGTTGGTTACCATAAAACTTTTAGATCGAAACTTACGAGATGTTTCCATTTCAATTTGTAAATATTTTTCAACTTTTTAGTTATACTAGTTACATAAATATACAAAGCAATAGATAGAAATCTTATAAATAGCATAGATAGATAAATATACATAGCAAAACAGCATAGAGATTATCTTATAAAGCATACTACCTTGTTATAATACTGAAAAATAAAAAAATATATATAAACCAATTTTGTAAAACATAAACAAACATTCTAACAAGACCAGCCTGTCAAATCAGTAGTTTAATTAGTTAAATAACTCCATTATGCTTATTACGTCTTGTACAAACAAAAAGCCATCTGTACAAACAAAAAGCCAAAATCAACTTTGAAAAAAGGGCTTAAAAAGATGAAAAACAACATTTAAAAACGGTTGCTATGCGCGTTGCTAGGGTAATTTAAATAATGAACATCTAAATAAATAAAATTTTGACCAATATCAGCATGGATAGCAAAAATTTAAAAATCAGCAATAGTTTCTACGATAAATTTGAGTTAAAATAAGTGTATTTTTGAAAAATTAATTTTTTCAATAATTTACACTTTTTTAATAGGGTTGTGCCCCCTTAAAAGCGTGGTTTTGAATTAAATAGGTTTAATTTAAATTTTTGAATAATTTTTTTTTCCCCTCGTGTCCTCTCGGACCGGTCTGTCTCGGCATATTAGAAAATAAGCAAAATATCTGAAACTCAAAAATTGTTGTAACTGAACAAAAAAATCTCATATTATTCATGACTCCTATTACCAAAAAAAATGGTCAAATTACCTTACAGACAATTTGATTAGTTTTTTTACCAAAACTTAACAGAAACCTAAAAATATATTTCAAGACAACTTTTCAATCCAGGAGCCGTCTCATTTTATAACAAACTACATGATCTTACGTTGTAAAAATATACCAATTTCTAAAAAATATTATATACATATATATATATATATATATATATATATATATATATATATATATATATATATATATATATATATATATATATATATATATATATATATATATATATATATATATATTATTATTATTATTATTATTATTATTATTAATATTATTATTAAAATTTTAAATATTTTTGAATAAATACAATTACTTTTAATATAAGTACAAATTTAAATTATTTATGAACAAACATACAAACAAAACAAAATTGGTTTATGTAATTTTTTTCAAAAAGTTCTTTTTTCATCACGAAAGCATATAAATAAGTTTTCTCTTGTTACTTTTAAAATGATAAAAACAAATTAAAAAATGGAGAAATCAATTTAGTATTTATTTTTACCAAACCTAGATAGTAACCGTAAAAGTTTCTTGTATTGATCAAAAAATCTCTTAACAAATAATTTTAATAGTATCCTGTTGGAAATATAAATTATATATAGTCTAAAGAATTCAGGGATGTAATGCAAAACATTTTGAAAACATTGAAGCCATGATTGAAAGTCATAATTTAAAGCAAACTTCTTATCTTGAGGTCTTCAGCATCCAAGTCACGTGTTCTGTTAAATAGAAATAATTCTTAGACAAAAGATATTAGGAAACGCATTGTTAAATGATAAACGTAGAAATAAAGATAAAAAAAAAAGAGATAAAGATAAAATACTTTATATAATGCTATCATATATTAAAAAAAAAAAAATTTACAAGTTAAGTTTGTCTGAACAAAATAACTCACCGTTGTGCTCTCTAGATCATCATTCTGATCCTTGGCTCCACTCCTTGTACTTTTTATACGATTGACACGCTCACGTATTTGTTCGATTTGACGTTCACGCTCATCTTTTTTACGATCTTCAACGATTGTCTTTTGTCTGGCCCCTAATCCTATAACTGCTGCTGCCTCCATTTCACGAGCTTCCATTTTTTTGCGTCTTTTTTCACGTAGCTCTCGAACCTTAAAGATATTTTAAATTTAATTTAATTAAAGTTTGGAATTCAGCTTTTTTTTTTTTTTTATTCAGAAACCGACTTTAAATAAAAAACTATAAATTATCTTATTAAATAAAAAAGAAAAACACGCTATACGTATCAAAATAAAACACAATAATACTAGTACAAAATTGGCAGCTAAAAAAGAACTAAATACAAAAAAAGAAAAACATATATTTATACCAACTCCTCTTGCCGTTCCTGTTCTCTATTTATTTTTTTGGCAATTGATGTCTGTTCTCTCATAAGTACATTAATCATGTCTTTTTTTTTATTTTCTGAAATCTCAGCAGCTTTTTCAACAACAGTTTTTTCTCGTTTCATTCCACCACCAGGCAAAGGCGGCATTACTTTTTTTGGTTTCACTTCCGGTTCTTTCTCAATAACTAAATCTTCGGAAAGCTTTTTAACCGGTTCTAACAAAAGACAACATTTATAAAAATATTTAAAATATAATTAATCTAATTAACCAATAATTAGTAATTAACACAAGCAATTACATAAATAAAATATCAAAACTCTTCAACAATCTTTTTTCTAACTTCATCATAATAAAAATTTGTTTATCATAATGAAGTGAAACTTTTTGCTTATAATTTTTTTTTTTTTTTTTTAAATTGTAACAAACATTTATTGAAAAAAATTGTTAAATACTTTACACAATTTTATGATTTAAACTTTAATACTATTATAAACAAATACTTTTTATTAATGTATAACGTTTACTTTATTAAATAAAAATACAATTTTATGATTTACTTTTTATAAAATTTTTATATTAAATTTGTATAAAAAAAAATTACAATAAGTTAATTGTAATTTCTCTCAACAAGGAGGCGAGTACTATTTAAGTTGGGAGTTACAAAGAAAATAAAAATGACAGTAAAAGAGCAAGATAAGAATTAACAGTTAAAAACTTACATTAATATATTAGGAAAAACACAATCTTGGTAAAGAATTCTAATGCATGCACACTAAAAAAGGCTTGTCACATAAAATATATATATATATATATATAAAAAAAACAACAACAACAAAGACACTTGATAAGTCATACGAAAATGAATTAGAAAAAATAAAAAAAATAATCCATAAAAAGATTACTGAAAAATGTATAAAGATACAGAATAAAAAATTTACAGAATACAGAATTTACAGAATAGAAACAAAAGTAAGTAAATTAAGAGATAATAGGAGATAATTTGATAACAATTCAGCATTATATTTAATCGAGAGTATTCCATGAGAGATCAGGAGGAGAGTAGAAAAAATTTAATTTTTTAGAAAAAAATCAAAAATTATTTTTTAGCTAACATGTGTTTCATTTTGTTCTGTTTCGTTCTTAAAACTATTTTTTGTATAGAAAATATATAATGTTTTTTTTCTATTTCGTCCTTTTTTACCTCAAGTTTTTTTACCTCAATTTTTTTTATTTTTTCAGTGACAAGATTATTTGTTCTGCCACAAGATTATTTGTTCTGTGACAAAATTATTTTGTTCTGAGACAAAATTATTTTGTTCTGCGACAAAATTATTTTGTTATGAGACAAAATTATTTTGTTCTGAGACAAAATTATTTTGTTCTGTGACAAAATTATTTTGTTCTGAGACAAAATTATTTTGTTCTGAGACAAAATTATTTTGTTCTGAGACAAAATTATTTTGTTCTGAGACAAAATTATTTTGTTCTGAGACAAAATTATTTTGTTCTGAGACAAAATTATTTTGTTCTGTGACAAAATTATTTTGTTCTGAGACAAAATTATTTTGTTCTGAGACAAAATTATTTTGTTCTGAGACAAAATTATTTTGTTCTGAGACAAAATTATTTTGTTCTGAGACAAAATTATTTTGTTCTGAGACAAAATTATTTTGTTCTGAGACAAAATTATTTTGTTCTGTGACAAAATTATTTTGTTCTGAGACAAAATTATTTTGTTCTGAGACAAAATTATTTTGTTCTGAGACAAAATTATTTTGTTCTGAGACAAAATTATTTTGTTCTGAGACAAAATTATTTTGTTCTGAGACAAAATTATTTTGTTCTGAGACAAAATTATTTTGTTCTGAGACAAAATTATTTTGTTCTGAGACAAAATTATTTTGTTCTGAGACAAAATTATTTTGTTCTGAGACAAAATTATTTTGTTCTGAGACAAAATTATTTTGTTCTGAGACAAAATTATTTTGTTCTGAGACAAAATTATTTTGTTCTGTGACAAAATTATTTTGTTCTGTGACAAAATTATTTTGTTCTGAGACAAAATTATTTTGTTCTGAGACAAAATTATTTTGTTCTCAGACAAAATTATTTTGTTCTCAGACAAAATTATTTTGTTCTCAGACAAAATTATTTTGTTCTGTGACAAAATTATTTTGTTCTGAGACAAAATTATTTTGTTCTGAGACAAAATTATTTTGTTCTGAGACAAAATTATTTTGTTCTGAGACAAAATTATTTTGTTCTGAGACAAAATTATTTTGTTCTGAGACAAAATTATTTTGTTCTGAGACAAAATTATTTTGTTCTGAGACAAAATTATTTTGTCCTGAGACAAAATTATTTTGTTCTGAGACAAAATTATTTTGTTCTGAGACAAAATTATTTTGTTCTGTGACAAAATTATTTTGTTCTGTGACAAAATTATTTTGTTCTGAGACAAAATTATTTTGTCATAATCTTATGTTATTGTTTTTTATTTGTCATAAAAAACAATAACATAAGATTGCAGAGTTTTATAGAAACGGAGAAGAACGTTTTCCTACATAAATAACTTTAATATTGCAATCGGAAAGACAAAGTTCAATAATTTCGATTCAAATATCAAATTAAATTTTTGATTTAAAGATAGATATAGCATCTTGGTAATGACAAGAGCTTTTTATGTTCAATATTTTTCTATACTTTATTTAATTTAAAAAGTTACAACTTTACAATAAGTTAAAACTTTACAATAAACTTGACTCAAACACGGACTTAGAGCCCTAAACCATAAATTACAAAACTACATAAGAAAATAGTTGAAGGTTAACACTTGTTACTATTTGCTTTTAATCTTTATTAAATCATATAACATACCTTTTTTGCAGATGTCCAATTAATTCCAACTATTACTAGCTCCATACATTACTCAATATATTTCAAAAACTACTAGTAATTACAAAAATATACTTGTAATTATTTTGTGAAATTTTTAAGTAAAAACGAGAGATACTTAATGATTATCAAGTAAAACAAAGTTGATTATGATAATTTTAAATTTATTTAAAAAAAATTTTTAATATTTTACATGTTAGCATTACATGTTGTAGGAGATAATATAATGGAAATAATATAATGGAAACACTAAGGACACAGCACAAAACCATAAAACTTATCTGTTGTATCAGCGTTTCAGGGCACTTTCTATGTGATTTAAAAGTTAATACCAAATTTAAATTTGTTGAGGCATATCTTTAGCTTACTCATGATGATGACCATAAAATTGACTATAGTGCTTTCTATCCACAACATCAAACAACAGCAAATAATACCACTCATCAAACAACATGCAACATTAATGAGATGGTGTTAACCACAATATTACTAAATAAATTAAATTTTTTTTACCGTTTTCATTTAGATGCAATGATTTTGATCTTTCGAGCTGATTCTCTGATAACTCAGGTGTTATATTTTTATCTTCTTCGCCTAAAACCAAAGTTTTTGCTTTACTGTTTTCAGCTTCTTTTTCTTCTTTTTCTGCAATGTCTTGTTTTTTTTTTCGCTCTTCTCTTCTTAGTCTTAAACGCTCTTCAAGCTAAAATGACAAATTTCTAATAATGACAGATTTTGAATAAAATGACAAATTTCTAATAATGACAGATTTTGAATAAAATGACAGATTTCTAATAAAATGACAGATTTTAAATAAAACGACAGATTTCTAATAAAATGACAGATTTTGAATAAAATGACAGATTTCTAATAAAATGACAAATTTATAATAAAATGACAAACTTCTTATTAGCTTTGATAAAATAACTCTAATGGATTATCATACTTCTATTAAAGCAACAAAATTTATTGACTTCTGAGAAATTAACTAATAAAAACCACAAATCTAACAAACTAGAATTAATACAACATTTAAATGAAATAAAAAAATAAAAATAAAATAATTACTTCATCTTTGTGTACACCTTGAGCAGCTAATGTTTTTTCTCGAAGTAAAATATTTCTTTTTTCTGCATTAGCTAACATTGCATGAGCAAGATCATTTTCATAAGTTTTTTCCTCTCGTTTGCGACGCTTTTCTTCTAATCGTTGTTGAGCTGCTTTACGTTGACGATTGGCTTGCTCCTCGATTCCCTTAATAATAATTTGTTTTTACAAAGTAATGAAATTGATTGACTTTTTTATTTGGTTTAACATTATTGTAAATTCCATTGTCTCAGACTTTTACAATGTTTTGAAAGGAGAAACAAAAAATATTTATTTTAGAAAAAACAATCAATATGATTTAATAAAAATTTATCTGTAATTACAATGCTATAATTACTAATAGAAGCTTATTTTGTAAAAATAGCTTATTTTGTAAAAATAGCTTATTTTGTAAAAATAGGAACGTGAAGTCAAAAACCTGACTCTAGAGTTCCTAATAAAAACTTTTTTCAAATCTCTAAGAACTATATTGAAAACCAACAACAAAAGGGGGATCATAACAGTACAATTATAAAAGTTTTGCAGGTGTTTTGTCAATGTATGTTAACAGAAATCAAAACAGGAAGCAAAAGTCCCCGCAAATGGTAATGGCATGTCTTTAAATATTTAGAGGATAGTTTATAGAAGTAACAAGCAAGGCCTAACATGTTGTTGATAAAAAAAAAAAAGGAGAGACCTGGTACTGAGGAATTCTAAATGAATCAGATAAGTAATCATTTTGTTTGACTTTTGCTTGTCAAAACATTAAAAATTTTTAACAAAAATAGCAAATTTATTTTATTTTATTATTTTTTTTTTGGGGGGGGAGGGGGGCTTTAAAAAACACTAAAATGGTAATAATTTTCTTAAACACTGCTGAAGGATTTGAATAAACTATTGTGGCATATTACAGAAAGTTAAGAACTATGAATAGCAGTACACTTTGTTATTATGACATTATAGCTTTTTAAAAAATATTTATATATTTAAACTTATTCTAATTTTAAAAATTGAATTGACGTTTGAAAATATTGTTGACTGTCACATTAAAATTTTTCCTAATCATGTCAATCATGTCAATCATGTCAATCCAGCTCTTGATAATCTTAAGTTTAAACTTACTACATTTAAACTTAAGTTTAAGTTAAGTTCAAACTAGTAAGTTTATTTTTCAATAGATCATATGTTCATAATATATATATAATAGATGATATTTTCAATAGATAATTTATATCAAAAGATAAAAACTGTTTTTTATTTTTGTCATTAATGGTATTAACAGTATTGCAAAAAAAGTTATAATTATTATTATTAATAATAAATGATAGCTAATATTACTATAATTATTAATTACTTTAATTTATTCTCAAATTTTTACCAGAATCAATAACGCAATAATAACAATTCATATAATTGAAATAGAAACTTTATAAGATAAGTCCCCCCTCATTCTGACATTTATAAAAATACCAGAAAATAAAAAATTTAATAATTATAAGAAAAAAAAATGGAAATTTTTATTCTATTGTTTTTCAAGCCTACCATTTTTCAACTTTATAGCTTGATACCTAAAGTGTTTAATAGCACCACTGACTAAAAGTATTCTTATACATACCATTCGTTTTAAATTTTCCCTTTCTTTTAATTCTTTCATAAAGTTGTCGACTTCATCTTTTGTTAATGAAGATAAAACTGTTTGTTTTTCTTTTTCAATTTCTTTTTCTAACTCCTTGATTTGAGCATCAGTTAGTAACTTCAACTGCTCTTCTTCATTTTCAAACTCCTTTTGTATTTCTTCATTAGGAGACTAAAAATTTTTGAATAATTTTAATGTATATCAATATTGATAAGGTGATAATTACTATAAAAATTTACTTTATCCCAATGCTTTACTCAATTCACATTATTGACACCTCATTATCTGATATTTGTGCTGATATTTAATGTTGTTTAACTAATTTATTATCAAACTTCTTTTATTTACTGCTACAATTGCTTACTGTGTACAATTAATTATTGCTTACTACAACTTACTGTTTACTACAACTTACTGTGTACTACAACTTACTGTTTACTACAACTTACTGTGTACAATTATTTATGGTTTACTACAACTTACTGTTTCCTTTTTGTCAAAGAGTAAAATTGCAATATTATCCATCCAACCGCCGCGTCGCGCTTTGCGATGTTCATCTTTCAATCTTTTCAAGGTTTCACGATTCTAAAATTAAAAATAGTTTAGCATTAAAGTACTAGAAAATATCAAATGAGTCATCAACATGACGATGATGATAAATATAAAAAATCAAAACTAAAATCTGTTATTCTTTTTCCAGATACTCAATATATATATATATATATATATATATATATATATATATATATATATATATATATTATATATATTATATATATATATAATGTTACATAATATATATATATATATATATATATATATATATATATATATATATATATATATATATATATATATATATATATATATATATATATATATATATATATATATATATATATAATGTTACAAGAATATATGCATAAAAAGTATCATTTATTGCGATACAAGCGATGTCTTTAGGTTTTCACATAAGCTATCCATTTATTTATTAACAACTTATTTGACCAGAGGTATAAAAGTTTTTTATTTTCTTATTGTAATGGAATGCAGGCATATTAAGAAATATTACAGCAATTAAAAGTTCCATGATAAAAGTAAAAAATATATTAAAGTAATTAATATATGAAATACTAGTTTGGTTGAAAAGTTCGCGGAGCGGAAATGAAAAAACAATTTTATGATTCAAAAAATGACTTTATTCTTCAGTATATTCTCCCTTAAGAGCAATACACTTTTTCCAACGATTCTCCAATTCATGTATCCCATCTCTGAAGTGCGATTCTGGAAGGCCTCAAAATACCCATTTACGGCTGCAATGACTTCTTCATGTGATGAGAAACGCTTTCCACGTAGAAATTTTTTTTTCGGACGGAGCCAGAACTGGTGAATAGGGTGGATGTTCCAAGCGTTCGTACTTTAATTCGACCAATTTCGCCTTTGCAACATCGCTGATATGAGCAGGTGCGTTGTCCTGGTGATAAATGATTTTTTTATGCAGCAAACCAGGTCTTTTCTCACGAATTTTTTTATCCAACTGGTCCAAAAAATTTTTATAATATTCACCTGTTATCGTTTTACCGGTTTGAAGGTAATCTATTAATAAAATTCCTTTCGCATCCCAAAAAACTGATGCCATAACCTTCTTTGACGATTTTGACGCCTTCACTTGCTTCGGAGCTGAACAACCGGGTTCTGTCCACTCTGCAGTTTGTTGTCGCAGCTTCGGATCATAGTGGTAAACCCAAGTCTCATCCATGGTTACGAATCGACGCACAAAATCTGTTTTATTCTTTTGAAAACGGGCCCAAATGTTCTTGAGAAAGTTTTACTCGAGTGCGTTTCTGATCCAGAGTTAGCGAATGCGGCACCCATCTTGCCAACAGCTTTCTCAGACGTAATTCATCGTGCAAGATGTGTAATACCCGTTCATCTGAGATGCCCACAGCCTCAGCAATTTCACGTTTGGTCAATCGTCTATCATCCATAACCATGTCATGCACAGCATTAATCGTTTCTTCAGTAGTAGCACTTTTTGGACGTCCAGAGCGAGGGTCATCTTCAAGGCTTGAACGCCCACGTTGAAACTCCGCAGCCCATTTGCATACTGTTGTTTTTGAAGGAGCATCATCACCCAACACATTTACCATTTCATTATGAATTTCCATGGGCTTTAAACCTTTTTTCACAAAGAATTTTATTACAGCACGATGTTCAATATTTTCCATTTTAAAAAATACTATGACACGTCTAATTTCAATAGCTTGTAAACAAAGACTGAAATGACATATCGACTTGAAATTTTTTATGCGTTCATACGAAGAATGAATACGTTTAATACAGTTATAAATTTGTTTCTACTACTGCAACATAGGTGCCGCTCCGCGAACTTTTCAACCAACCTAGTATATAATTAGTTACACTGTTTTATTACATTATTCATTATATTTGAATACAGAACAAATTTATTAAAAATTATAAAGAAATGCAGAAATATAGTATTTTGAATTTTAAATTTTTTAACTGCTATGTGGTTATGCATCTTCATTCGTATTAGATTAATTATTCATATATAAACAAAACATGAGAGCTGTTTATATATGTTTTTTTTTCTACTCATTGTCCATATATTTTTTTTGTGTTATTTTAAGCAGTTTAAACATTATAACCGCATGTAAAATCAATAACCATCCTTTAAAGAGGAGTGGTAAATATATAAATAAGTATTTTTGAGCGAAAATTTATTTTAGTGAATTTTTGCAACAGTTATTAGCAGTAAAAAAACTATAACTAAAAACACTACAGTTCTATAATTACTGACAACAAATTTTTGTTTTAGGCTAGAAATGGCATCTTAATAAAAATACTTATCCTAAGCATATGTTAACTACACCCACCTAACATCTTGTATAATTTTTTTTAGGTAAAGACTTATTGGGTAAACAGAAGTATTTAGTTGATCAGGCTCTTTATCTGATCAGCTGGTGTAAACCTCAGATACATTGCTTTCTACATAAGATTAGGAACCCTGGATCCTGAACCCTTTCTTTTTTGATAGGTATTTCCTTCTGCTACCTTATTAGTGTTTTTGAAATGAGTAAGTAGTAAACTTTCCCAAACACTTTTTTAGCTCATAGCTAACATAGTGTTTGGAACAATATATATATATATATATAATGTATATATAATATATATATATATATATATATATATATATATATATATATATATATATATATATATATATATATATATATATATATATATATATATATATATATATATATGTATGTAAGTATATATATATATATATATATATATATATATATATATATATATATATATATATATATATATATATATATATATTATATATATATATATATTTATATAAATAAAATTATTATTGATAAAACAATCATTTTTTTCTGCTTTTTTTGAGTCCAAGGTTGATATAGTTTAGAAAAAAAAAAATTCAAAAATATTAGAATCCATTGATTTAGAATTCAAAGAAGAACCTCAAGATCTCATCAAAATCATAAAATATTTTTTTACTTTCATCTTATAATTAATAGACATCGATTTGTGTCTCAGGAATATTGATTTTAAAACTTTTTTTCTTTTGCTATGAAAATCGCTCCACACTAATATATATACATACATACATATATATATATATATATATATAAATATATATATATATATATATATATATACATATACAAATACATATACATATATATATATATATATATATATATATATATATATATATATATATATATATATATATATATATATATATATATATATACATATATATTTATATATTTATATATATATATATATACATATATATATATATATATATATATATATATATATATATATATATATAAATATATATATATATATATATATATATATAAATATATATATATATATATATATATATATATATATATATATATATATATATATATATATATATATATATATATATCAATGGTTAAGAGCACAAAGGGAAGATGTCCAACATTTTACGGTTTTGAGTTATTGCGCGCATATTGTATTAAAGTATGTAAAAGAAATGAAAATAAAATAGTAAAAAACATGACAGAATTAATTGAGGATTGCATTTGGTTAAAAATCATGTATGTATGTATGCATGCATGTATGTATGTATGTATGTATGTATGTATGTATGTATGTATGTATGTATGTATGTATGTATGTATGTATGTATGTATGTATGTATGTATGTATGTATGTATGTATGTATGTATGTATGTATATTTATGTTCTGCCTAAACCTCTAGCTATTGGTTTTATGTAACCCAGTACTACCTGCCTCATGCCCTGCAGCCTTTTAGGGTGTGCTTTTTTAGCCAAAGACTATGAGAAACAAACTTGGACTAGAAAATCCCCTGTTTTAGGGCTCTTAGTTGAGTAAAGGCTAAAGATCGGACCTCAATAAGAATACTTATCTAGGGCAGATGTTAACTGTATCCAGCTAAAATTCCCCTGCCTTGGAGCTTTTGATTGAGTGAAGGCTAGATATAGGGTTTTAATAAAATTACTCATCTTGGGCACATGTTCTTACAAGACAGTAGCTTGGTGTTAACTGCACCAAGCTACTGTCTTGTAGGAAGCCTCCTAGGCAAAGACTTTAAGGGTAAGCAAAATAATTTTGCCAACCAACCTCAAACCCCTTCTTCATCAATTAGGCTAGCATAGATGATTAAATCATGCCAAAAGTAACCCAAAATTTTAAAAATAAAAACCACCTCACTGTTTTAATATACCTTTTACAAATATTTGTGGACTGTAAAATAACCTTCCATAAGTTGAACCTCTTGCGAAACTCACCAGACTTGCTTGCTCTTCGTGAGACTAATTTAAATTCTGCTCTTCCTTCTTCTGATCTTAGAGTTAATGAGTCCTATCCGTTATTTTCATTATTACAGTCCTTGGGTTGATGCTTTTTCTCTCTCAGCTGATGCCTCTCCTACTTAGCCTCCTGGATTCAGACAAAAATGGATGTTTTTATTCCTTCTTGTCAGTTCCAAGTCAAGTCTCATTCTACTCCATAGTTTCATCCTTTTGTGCAGCTGCTATATCTAATGGAAATCATTTTTTTCATCTTTTTCAGAAAAACAACTCTTTTGAGAACAAACATTTATTATTGCAAAAAATCAATGTAAAAAAAAGTGATACTAATGATAATCTAATGCTAAGCTCTATTATTCTAATGCTAAGTTCCATTATTCTTAGTGCACTAAATCTTGTATCTTATCTTAGAAGTTAGACTCTAGAAACTTTTGAAGGTCTGTTTTCCACCTCTCATTCATAAGACTGATCTTATTACCTCTCCCAAGGATAAGGCAGAACTATATGCAAAGAACTTTTTCTTCTAATTCAACTCTTAAATCTTATGGCCATTCATTTCCTTCCATTCCAATTAAACAGGTTAACCCATTGTTAAACATTCAAATCACTCCACCTTCCATTACTAAAGTCATATCTCCATTAAACACTTATTTAATGTGTGGTCCAGACATTTTTGTCTAACAAAATTGTTCTCTAGAACTCTTTTAAATTCTCTCTAAGCTATTTAAAAAATACTTGACTGAGTCTTGTTTTTCTGCCTGCTTGAAAATTTTCAATTAATATGGTTTTCGATCCTCTCACTCTACTGCTGACTGCTGTTACTGAAAGATTATATTGTGCATTAGATGGAGGCAGAAGATGGATTAGAAGAGAGGCTAGATCTATTTCTCTTGAAATATCTAAAGCTTTCAAAAAAGCTTGATATGCTTGTCTTTTGCATGAGCTTGTTTCATATGGTATATCTGGTAAAGTTTTCTTAATAATCAAATCATTTCTAACTGCTTTTTCTGAATCATCTGTAAAGACCAAAACTATTTTTCATTTCCAGAAACTTTGGGTATATACTGAAACTCTTTTTATTTTGGTATGTTTAAAGATTAACAAAATTGGAGCAGTCCTGTATGAAAACCTCCTAGATAATTTTATTTTAATTGGTTTTAGTGTTATATAGTAACATTATGAACATTGTTTATTTACATTTATTGTATTTAATAACATTTAATATTTGATTTATATATATATATATATATATATATATATATATATATATATATATATATATATATATATATATATATATATACATATACATATATATATATATATATATATATATATATATATTATATATACATTTATTATATATATATATATATATATATATATATATATATATATATATATATACATTTATATATATATATATATATATATATATATATATATATATATATATATATACATATATATATATATATATATATATATATACATATATATATACATATATATACATACATATATATATATATATATATATAAATGTATATATATATATATATATATATATATATATATATATATATATATATATATATATATATATAAATGTATATATATATATATATATATATATATATATATATATATATATATATATATATATATATATATATATATACATATATATATACATACATATATATATATATAAATGTATATATATATATATATATATATATATATATATATATATATATATATATATATATATATATATATATATATATATATATATATATATATATATATATATATATATATATATATATATATATATATATATATATATATACATGTATATATATATATACATATAAATGTAAACTTGATTCTGATTAACTTCCAACAAGGCTGCAAGCAACTACTATTAAGTTGGAAATTACTAGGAAAAAAAGTTATAGACCAAGGAAAAGAATAGATCAAGGAAACGGAAAAAGGAAAGAAGAATTAAAAAGATAAGTCAGATAAGAGATTTGTCAGGAAACCATAAAGATGAGAAAGGTTAAAATAGGAGGAAAGAAACTAGGCAAATAAAATTTTTTAAAGCATACAGCGAAAAATACAGTAAAAAGAATAAGACTTAGATACCCAACTACATTTCCAATGCATTTTCAGACATTGTCTAGAAGAGAAAGTGCATCATTAGAAGAACCAGCCCAAATATAACAAAAGTATATACAGGGACAAATAGAATTGTAGAGATAGAGAATGGAGAGGTAGAGAATGGAGAGGTAGAGAATGGAGAGGTAGAGAATGGAGAGGTAGAGAATAAGATATTTGTAGAGGTAGAAAATTAGGAGTAAAAAAATAGCAAGCATGATAAAGAGAAGTAACCATAGCAACCTTAACAGATGCTAATTTAACAGTCGATTGTTTTTATGGTTTCTATGAAAAGTCACTAGCAAATGATAATCTAAGAAGACATAAAAAAGAGGACTCAGTGTGAGAGCTGCCCTTTATCAATATAGACATGTCAACGGTATTTGCAATAGTGATCAGAATTTTAAAAAAATACAAAAAATCAATAGTTATGATTATACACAAAATATTAAAACATACTATCTCTAACATGATTTTCATTGTTGAGTTTGTTTCTATCATTTGTTGTTCCTGTAACTTTGTCATAAAAAAAACACAAGGATCTTCTTCTTTAAAACTCTGTAAAGCAAGCCTGAGCATCAAGCCCTTCTTTAATATATCTAGACATGAACGGTGATGCTGAAGAAGTGATTCATTGTATGAAGTTTTCTCGATCTAAAAAATAAAATACAGAAAAATAAATAGCAAAACAGTTTTTTTACATTTTATTGTAGTATACATGAAATTAATAAATTTTAAAAATATATTGCAAGATTTATTTTTGTCAATGTTATTAAATGTGGTTCACAACATAAAAATGTGATAACTAAAATATGACAAATGTTACAATAATAATCAATGTGATATACAATATGATGATACAACTTGTATCATCACATTGTATATCACATTGTATATCACAAGTTACAACTTGTACTCAGTCCTTTTTGCATCTGAAAATATAAGTGACATCTAGATAACTAATGTGAGAATAACTACAGTACTTGGCCATCACATTAAGACCACACACTTTTTAAAAATTTATTTCAACCTTAAATTACCATATGATGTTATTTTTTGTTACAAATTATTTCTATTCTTAGTAAAGTTTAATAAAATTTTTATTATTTGGCAATTCTGGCTGTCTGACAACTTAAGGTTACTTTTTTTTTGTTTTTTGACATCTTCACCTCCAACAAGGCTGCAAGCAACCACCGTTAGAGTTCTTTTTAAGCTCAAATGCTCCTTCCAATCAATCAGAGAGTGTTGGCTTCTTATCAATTATTATATTATCAGTTTGATTGAAATTTTAATGTGAAAAGCTTGAGTGCTTTATTTCATTTTTTTTAATATACTTTATCTTTATACAAAACTTTATCTTCATATAAAAGATTTAGTGGTGATTTTTTTTTAATGATTAAGTAAAGATACAAGTCTTTACACTTTTTTAATTAATTATGTGTAAATAATTTTTTTTTTTTTAGCATTTTTTTTGAAACCACAATCTGTAATGATTTGTATTCTATGAAAGAACATGTATACTTCAAGTTCATTAAATTATTTAAATAATTTAATGAACATGTAAAATTCAAGTTCATTAAATTATTATCAAATATTAAAAAGTTACTTTTACTTGAAAATTTTATTGCAGCAATATCTCCATAATTTTGATTATGGTATTTTATTGCGGCAATATCTCCATAATTTTGGTATTTATATGCTTTAAGTTTTATAAAGTTTAATAAGTTTTTTGTTTATTAAACTGTTAAAAAACAATATAGCATGCTAAAGTGGTCGAAGTGCTTCGTGTGGGTTCAATCCCTTCGCTTACACACTTAATTGTTTTTTTAAATCTTTTCCAATTTTCTAGAATACAAAGTGAAACAGTTTTAAAGGTCTCTATTGATATTATATGCACAGTATATATAAAGATAATATATACTACAAAAAACAAAACATAGAGTTTTTTAAAAAGCTTTTTAAAATCTCTAAAAACATAAAAAAGTTTTTAAAAATTTCTAAAAACATGTAAACACTGTTGGAAAATTGCATATGTCATAATAGAGGTACTTATATTATTAATATGCTTAAGTAATTAGTTAGGTCTGCGCGTCAAAACAGAATAAATAGACAACTTTCTTTCTTATAGAAAATAGATTTTATATGTAAACAAATTTTCTAAGAAATTAACGAGGCAAGAGTTAACCTTAACCTTAAGTAAACCATAACCCTAACCTTAACCCTTAATCAGAAATGACACACTAGACAACAAGCCTAAAGTTTAATTTTTTTTTTGCTTCCTTTTGCACTAAAAATCTGAAATACAAACCTTGAAAAGCAAGGGTGATTTACAAATCTAAAAATTTCAAAAGTGCTCTTCCACTACACCGCTACCAAATCATCATTATAAAGAAAAAAAAATTAGTGCACTTAATAAAATATTTACATCTTTAGCATCATATTTACATATTTACATCATATCATCTTTAGCATCTTCTTTTTCATTACTATCCAAATATGCGGTAGTGGTGTAGTGGTAGAGCACTCGCTTCATAAATGAGTGGTTCCGAGTTCGACCCCCACCACATCCCTGGTAGTACTGCGTTCAACTTGTTTCTCCGCGCAGCGGCCTTGTTCATCAAGGTTTGTGTTTCGGAGTTATAGAGTTGAGAGAGGGTTATAACCACAAATAAGTAGCCTCCTCGTCTGTAGTGGCCTTCTCGGCCTTGAGGAGGTGAATTAAATAAAAAAAAAAAAAAAAAAAAAAATTTGTAAAAATTACCTCACTTGAAAAATCAGGTTGCTGTACAGATAGAAAGTCCATAGATTTTTTTATAAGCTTTTTTCTATCAACAGAGATAGCTTGCAATTTAAAAAAAATCTCGTCATCAGATGTTGCTTTTTCAAAAATTTCAACTCCTTCAAACATTTCTACTAAAGCCTAAAAAAAATTAAATGAATACTAATGCTCAAATGTTGTTTTAAATACTGATTAAAAAACCATAAGTTGTTTTAAAATTTCAAATAAAAACACACTTCTCTTTCAGAGGCATGTTTTTTCTCAATCTCAAGCAATAGTGAATCTTGGAGAGCAACTGTCCCTTCTCTTTGTATTTGTTCAATTGATATCATATCATCTTTAGCATCTTCTTTTTCATTACTATCCAAAACTTCATCTAAACTCATAATTTCTTTTTGCTTTCTTTCACGACATGCAAGTATTCTTTGCTTAGCTAGTTGTTGCTGACGAGCTCGTTCATTTTCAATTCTAACATCAGAAAGAAACTAACAACATATTTATAAAGAAACTAACAACATAATTTTATTTATACATTTATAGCAACTAAATATAACATAAATAGCATTAAATTTACATTAGTAATAATAATAATTAAATGTAAGAATTTATTACTGTTGAGATTTAAATTTATTGTATATATATTAATAAATATATAAATATATTAATAAATGTATTGTATAATTATAATTAACATTAAAACTAAATGTTTAAATACCTCTGTTGACTGTTTTTTTCATTTTGAGAAGTCATAGTAAACAGAAGTGCCGCCCCATTTAACTTATCTTCTCTCTGAATTCTTTTTTTTTCTTGGCGCAACCGACAAAGCTCAAGCTGTCTACCTCTTTCATTGGTTTCAGCAATATCTCTTTTTTTGATCATTTCCAAAACTGCCTCTTTTTCTTTTTCAAATTGAATCTAAAAGTATTGTTTAAAATAATTGTTTAAAAATAATTGTTTAAAAAATTATTGTTTAAAAATAATTGTTAAAACTTATTAATAATAAAAAAAAAAAAATCAAACTTGTAAATCTTTGATTAACTCTTTTCCTTTAACTTCTTTGTTTTCTTCACCATCTTCAGCATTTTTATTACTCATTAGGACACCCATGTCTTGAAGATTTAACAAGTCAAGTTCTCTTTAAAAAAAGAAAAAATTGAAACAACTTTTAAACTATGAGGTGAATTTAACAATATCTGTGGATCCAAAATAACACTATCTAACTGTAGAATCAAAAATTATACACTGCAATCATTTTCTATAGACACGTATAGAATTTTGCGAATTCACAGTGTTACAGAGGTAATAAAATTGCTACTTTTGAATAAGATTATATAAAACATTATGCATCTGATTATTATCTTGATTGTATTAAAATATTTTAATACGTGGCAATTTTCTATAGACGCACTAAAGTTTTTATGAGTTTTTTTGCAAATTTCTTACATTCTGTAGTATTTTTTATTTTGTGAGTCGAAAATAAGTTGAACTTAACCAAATGCTGAAAGGAAAGGTCCTTACCAATATTGAAAAAGGACAAATATTTGCTTTTGATCGAGAAAAATTCCAAATCAAGAAATTGGTTGAAGATTGAAGAAATCAGATCACCTTATCCGTAATTTCTTGAAAAATCCAACAGCTTATGTAACAATCAAAAGGAAACCAAAGAAATCTAAGGTTTCAGGCCGTGAAAAACGCAGAATTGTTTAACTCGCATCAAATTCATCAAAAAGTTTAAAAACGATCAAGTCAGATTTTGGATTTAAATGTTTGCAAGGAGACAATTAGGAAAGTTCTTAAAGAAAGCCCACACATTGTACGATCAAAAATGAATAAAGCACAAAATTTAAAGCTCGTTCACAAACAGAAACAGATGGAATTCGCCCGCAAAAACATGTCACGCAATTGGGAACAAGTAGATTAAATTCTCATCGTAAGATGTCTATATATATATATATATATATATATATATATATATATATATATATATATATATATATATATATATATAATATATATATATATATATATATCCATTTTATATAGTAAACCTTTTAAGAACTTGCGTCAAAAGAAAGTTATAAGAAACTAGAGAATAAATCAGCAATACTCAATAATACTTTTAATATTTTAAAAGTGCATTAATATCCAGATAATATTTTAAAAGTGAACTAAATTTTAAAATATTTTGACAGTATAATCTGACAGTATTCTGACAGTACAAACAGACAATATTCAGACAGTGCTCGACATGGTTTTTAATAACCACAAAATTTTGAAATAGTTTTTCAAAAAAGTATTGTTGTTATTTCTTGTTTTGCTTTTTATTACCAGAGTATAGAGGCGTTGCAATAGGGTAGATGAGGTAGACAAATCTATGTACATATTTTGATCCAGAAGGCCACAGAGTCTATATTAGGTTTAAGGGCCACTGAGTGAACTATATGGTAGCAGAAAATGCAAAATTATTTAAAGAGTTTTTTTAATTTTGTGTGTGGGCTACCAAGTATGTTGGGAGGCAACTGCTAAAGTAGCATGTAAAATGACAAAATAAAAAAAAAATAAAAAAAGGAACTTATAAGTTTTTAGTTTAGATAAAAATAGGTTTAAGTATATAAAAATAACCTAGGTATAAAAAACAATTTTGTAAATTCTAAAAACAGCTGCAGAGTTTATGTTAGTTCTTCTAAAATATGTTAAATGAACAAAGGTAACAAATGTAAATGCATTTAATATTTTTAATTTAAAACCAGAAATATTCTTACTCTATGTTATTTTTCTGCTTTTTTTTCCGCCATTATTTTATTTATCTTTTTCTTTTATCATTATTTTATTGAATCTTTTAAATTTTATCTTTAAAAATTCTTATGCAGCTTTTATTAAAAGAGCAAAAAAAATTTTAGTTCTAATTTTTGAATCTTTTGTTTATTTAAAAAAATTTACCTTTGACCACCAATCAAAAGCTCTTCAGCTTTTAATTTTGCTAAATATTTACTTTTCTCTTGAGAAGTCATACTTTCCCATGTTTCTTCGCCAAATTTCCTGATAATAAAATGAACTTAATTAAGCATCAGAAAAATTTAAGAAAAGAGTAAAATATATTTTAAAATGTGTTCAATTTAATATTTGATTCAAATAAATTATAAAATAAATAGATAAAATAAATAAACTACTTTGTAATAATTCTTTTAAATCAAATTTTTTTTCTTATAAATTAAAATAATCACAAAAAAGAAAAAAACTATTTATTTTTAAATTATTATTTTATCAATTTTAAATTATATAACTTTTGTATGCATTACAGTGCTCGAAATAACAATTTCAAGGTTACTAATCAACATTAATTATCTGTGATAAATTTTCTGAAGCAGCTAACTAATTTTTTGGAAATTTTTACTCTACCTTTTATATGCATAACACTATCAGTATTTAACATAACATAACACTATCAGTATTTAACATAACATAACACTATCAGTATTTAACATAACATAACACTATCAGTATTTAACATAACATAACACTATCAGTATTTAACATAACATAACACTATCAGTATTTAACATAACATAACACTATCAGTATTTAACATAACATAACACTATCAGTATTTAACATAACATAACACTATCAGTATTTAACATAACATAACACTATCAGTATTTAACATAACATAACACTATCAGTATTTAACATAACATAACACTATCAGTATTTAACATAACATAACACTATCAGTATTTAACATAACATAACACTATCAGTATTTAACATAACATAACACTATCAGTATTTAACATAACATAACACTATCAGTATTTAACATAACATAACACTATCAGTATTTAACATAACATAGCACTATCAGTATTTAACATAACATAACACTATCAGTATTTAACATAACATAACACTATCAGTATTTAACATAACATAACACTATCAGTATTTAACATAACATAACACTATCAGTATTTAACATAACATAACACTATCAGTATTTGTAAAATGTATAAGTATAGTAATAATACACCAAAAAAGATTCTTTTTAAAAGACAACAACAGACAAAAAGATTCTTTTTAAAAATCCATATTAAAGAATTGGTGTTCAATTTAAATTATACAAAATTTTTATTTTGCACATCATAATTTAATATAGAGTAAACAGCCTTTCCCATAATTTAATATAGGGTAAACCACCTTTAATATTATGGTCAACTGTCTATCTTTTCTTTATATATGAAGTAAGTTTGGCTGTCGTAAACATAAAAACAAAACACATACAATGATTTGGAGCAAAAAAAGATCTGTAAATAACCTTACAACCCTCAGAATTAGGGTCCGCATTTGGTAATGCTGACCTAAATGCTGAAAGTGTTTGAGGTTGGCAAAAAATTGCTAACTTATATTTATGTTTTATGGTCAGACCTTTGTATCAAATAATTTTTGCCGACCTGATGCTGACCTCAAAAAGATTGAGGTCGGCAAATTATTGTCAATCTTTTTCCTAATTTTGAGGGTTGCTCTTAAATTTTATGAACAATTTTGATAACTTTTTTCAGATAAGCACAAGAATTGCATGACAAATATAATGTAATTAAAAAATTTTCTTTTTTACGCTGACACGGAAATAGATGTGATGAATGTACAAACCTTTAAAATAAAAACACTGAAAAGGGAGTGGGGGTAGAGGGGGTTTTAAAGACTAAAAGATATTTATTATGTTTTCCAATATTAGACAAAAATAAATAGAAATTTCTCATCATTACTTTATTGTATAATAGCATTTCTGAGACAAAATTCAGTATTTTATGCCAGTGATTTATATTTGAATAACACTTCTATAAGTTATTGAATTATATCCCAGTCTTCAAATACACATTGACTAAAAAAAATGTTTCAATTTAGAAACAATTTTATTTAAGTCTAATTTCTTCTTTAATAGCTACTAGAGAGTTAATTTTGCTTTCTTGATTGATTGCTACACAGCAATCCTCTTTGGACAGTTACTAAGGTTTTGTAAATTTATTTGCACAACCATTAAAGGTTGCAACACTGTAATTCCCTTGGAGAATAATTCCAAACCTTTGCTTATATTCTTCTAATTCTAAATTAAAATAATTAAATCAAAAGTAATGTAAAGTTAAGATGTCTCTTAAAATAAGTTCAAAAATAACTTTAAGATCCCAATATATTGAGGAGAATATTAACCAATTCAAGACGTTAAGAAGTAATTTAAGTCCTATTAGTTAATTAGTTTATTAGCATATATAAATTTTTTAGTATATATAAATTTAAGAGACAGTCACAGTAAAAAGATGAGAATTAAATAAATGAATAGTAACACAAGAATGAATTTTAGTATATGGCTCAAGAGACACTAGCTCTTTAGTGCAGTACCCATTATAGTATTTATAGAAAAGAAAAAGATGCAACCTTAGAAAATACTGATTTTGCAACCGATTTAATATATGGTTTCCAAGAAGGATCACAAGTAGTAGTTAATCCTAGAAAATGAAGAGTAGATGACTCATTCAGTACATTACCATTCATAAATATAGGAAGATCTAGATTATTGCGATAACAATTAGCTGAAAAAAATTGAGTATTATCTGAGTTAAAATTCACCAGCTCCTAAGAGCCCAATACTATAGCAGAAGTGAGATCCTTTTCAAATTCAAATGCCTCCTTTAAACATTCAGAGACTGTTGGATTCTTATCAAGATAAGAATAAATGGTAATATTATCAGCAAACAATGCCACCTTAAATGTTACAACTCCTGGGAAATCGTAAATGTAAGTTAATGAGGGCCCCTTAAAGTTACAGGATATGAAGAAGAGTGCTGTCCATCAAGGACAACTTTTATACTACAATTGATAAGGAAGGATTCAATAATCTTAAAGATGTTACCTGATATACCATAAGAAGAACTTATGGAGAAGAACAGCAAGCGGAACTTTATCAAAAGCTTTAGAAATATAGAGAGCAATAACCTCTTTACATCTAATGCACAATAAAACCAATCAGTTATTACCGTTAACAAATCAGCAGTAGAATGAGAAGACCGAAATTCATACTGATCATTACTAAGTACATTATTAGATTTAAGATAAGATTAAGTGCTTGTTAATTAAAGGCTCAAAAACCTTGCTTATGATAGGAAGAAGACTAATTGGACAGTAGTTAGATAAGTCAGATCACTCTCTGGAATTTTTGAAATTAACAGATGACATATGCAGGCTGGAAAACAAAACTGTTATATGACAGCTCCAAAGAACACATCTGCGAGACTATAACAAGTATGTTATATGGACTACAAGCTGCAGAAGAGTCTAAACAGGAAACTACATCAGATAAAGAGGCTGGAGTAATACAAATATTAAGCAACTATAAAGTTGACAGTTATTTTTAATCATAAAACTTTTAAACTATCATTCAAACCTTTTCTTTAAAAAAATGAATAGCCACACAAACATTTAATCAATATATATTTGTTCATATCTTTTACAGATGTTCATTTGAATGCAATGACTCTTTCATTGAATGTCTTTCATTTAAAATCATTGTGTTTTCCTACTAAAAAAATGGTGTAATTATTTACAAAGAAGAAATAGATAACCACTGGGTGGTTTACCCTGATAAAATGTTTTATTTGCTCTTTTTCTTTTAATTATTTTATCAATAATTTTTTATTTATTTATATAAATTATTTTTCTTAAATTAATTACAACCTTAATATGATGTTTTCCTTACCATCATAAACTCACACCATTTCCTAATAATTAATTGTTACTTAACTTACTTCCAACTAAAAATTGTTATGATCTCAAAACCATGTTTCTTTCACAAATCAGAAAATTCAGTACTTTTGATAATTCAATAAAAAATTTTGACTTGCAATTTTTGCCAATCAAATGACTTGAATAACTTGGAAAATTGAAGTGTCATTTTTTTATTTGCTGATTGTTGACTGGCCAATATTTATATACAATGGCATATATTATATATATATATATATATATATATATATATATATATATATATATATATATATATATATATATATATATATATATATATATATATATATATATATATATATATATATATATATATATATATATATTTATATATATATATATATATATATATATATATATATATATATATATATATATATATATATATATATATATATATATATGTATATATATATATATATATAGTGTGTATATATATATATATATATATGTATATATACATAGATATATAAATATATATATATATATATGTATATATATATATATATATATATATATATATATATATATATATACATAGATATATAAATATATATATATATATGTGTATATATATATATATATATATATATATATATATATATATATATGTATATATATATATATATATATATATGTATAGAATAAACGACATATATATATATATATATATATATATATATATATATATATATATATATATATATATATATATATACATATATATATATATATATATATATATATATATATATATATATATATATATATATATATATATATATATATATATATATATATATATATATATATATATATATATTAAAACAATATTCTTCTTCCTGAACCTACTGTATGTATCATATACTATTCATATCTATAATTGATTTGAGAAAAGATTTGATTTTAATTGATCTTTACTACAAATGTAAAAAAATTTGATAAAAATGTTTGTCGTTTATTCTTAACATTATAGTATGACATCTTAAAATGTAAAATCAAATTGGTGAGTATACTTTTTAAGTGCCTCCTCATACAACTTCATCTTTATGGCATCATACTTTTCTTTTAAAGCCTGCACTAATTCATCTTCTTCTTTTTTTGCTTGTTCTTCAAACAATATTATGCCAACATTTTTAAAGATTTTATTCTGGCGTGCCACTTGTTGAATATTGATAAACTGTTTTAACATAGTCACACTCTATACAGAAGAAAAAAAGTAAACAACTAAAAAAATAAACAAGTAAAAAAAGTAAACAATCATAAGTAATTAATTGATTTTATTCTTTGTTACTCTATAAACAGTGTAAAAAGTTTGAGATGTTTTTAAAATATGAGAATCTGTTTATTGATTTCAAAAAAAACTAACTTCAAAGTTTTTTAATAACTTTAAAGTTTGAAAAAAAAAAAAAAGACTGGTTTATTTTTCACAAAGATTAGAAAAAAGATAATTTTAAAAAAGTACATTTTTACTATTTCAAGATAACGCTTTTTACTACTTTTAATACAATAACTACTTTTGTAAAGTTTTTCTAAATTTCTAAAATCAAAAACTTCAGATTGAATAAATAAAAATAAAATATGAACTGTATATGAAATATACAGTAGATTTAGCGACTAATGATAAAAAAAACTATACAAATATAAAGCAATATAAAGGCAATAACTGATAAGTATAATTAATAGTAAGTATAACTACAGACCTAACTTCTAATAAAAACTTATAATAAAAATATAATAACCTATAAACTATATAATACATATATATATATATATATATATATATATATATATATATATATATATATATATATATATATATATATATATATATATATATAAATATATATATATATATATATATATATATATATATATATATATATATATATATATATATATATATATATATATATATAAATATATATCAGGGATGCAGAGTCCTAAAAAAGACTTATAGGTCAAAATAACAATCAATTTTTGAAACCGGAGTCCTTAGGTAACCCGAAGTCCTTAGATAATGGCGGCAAGGACTCTGGGACTCCAGGACTCCAGGCTTAAAAACAATAAGTTCCAAGTCATAAGTTATCATAATTTTTTTCTTATAGCAGATCATTATTCAACCAACTTGTTTAACGCTTCTGGATGACTCATCAAGAAGATGAAGATGACTCATCATGAAAGGTAAATATAAATAAAATCTTCTCAAGAGCTGATTATTTGGAAAATGTTTTTCAAATTTAAAAAATTTTTTGATAATGATATTTTGAGCTACAATGATAACAAGATGATCAATGATCTACAATGATCTCAAGCTATAATAATAAAAAAATTCTAAAGTTCCTAATAAAAAATAATTCCCAATAAAAAATTTTAATTAAAAAATATTTAGGTTTTATAACATTTCAGACATTCAAAAAATTCTATTCCAACTGCACTTAATGTAAAATCATATGAATTTATCAACTGCACTTAATGTAAATTTATATGAATTTTTCAACAACATTTAATGTAAATTTGCATAAATATTTTGTTGCTTGGCAACTGCGTACAATTTTTTAAATTTTTATAAATTTTATGATTTAAAAACTAATAAAAGAAGCATTCAAGTAGAATATTTTTTTAAAATCCATCATGCTAAGATAAGAAATTATTTATTGTTATAAACATTTTTAGTGATTAAATACAGCAATCTATACTAATTAGCTGTAATAATGATAATAAAAACAATGAAAATAAAAACTTAAAATAATAATAACCTTATCCACTAGTTCACTAAACACTTGCTCAACTTCAGCATCCTGAATGTCTTGAAGATCTGACAAATATTCGACACCAAGATCATCACAATCATTTTCTTTTATTTTTAAGTGGAATGCTTCCTCAAGGATGTTTTGTGGATTTTCATAATGACCTTTTTGACATTGTTCATACAGCTCCTGTAATAAGATATATGTAACTATATGTATAAGATATCAACTGATATCAATTAAAGATTCTTAATAACAAGAAACATTAAATCAACATTTAAATTAGTGTTTTAATATGTGATATAAAAGTGACAGTATATCAGTAGTGACAATATATCAGTAATGATAATATATCAGTAACAATAATATAACAGTAATGAAATATATATCAGTAATGATATGGTCAGGTCAGGTTTATCCTGCAACTGGTAACATGTAACCCAGTACAATCTGCTTCATGTCCTGCTGCCTTGTAGGATATGCCTTTTTAGGCAAAGGATAGGGGATACAAACTTCAACATAAAGAACCCCCTGCCTTGGGGCTCTTGGTTGAGTAAAGGCTAGAGATGGTGTCTCAAAAAAAATACTCATCTTGGGCAGATGTGAAATGCATCCAACTGCTGTCTTGTAGAAGGCCTCCTAGGCAAAGACTTAGGGGGTAAACAAATTCCATCTGTTGACCAGCCTTGCACCCCTTCTTCATCTATTAGGCTGGCGCAGATGTATTTTTAATACATTCTTTCCAGTTTAGAATGTTGAACGCTGGATCTTCTTGACTCGATGCGTGGGTTTTGCTTGTGTCTCTGTTTCTATGACTAGGCAACTCATTCTATTATCACCAAATGAGGATACAGCACTAAAACTCAGTTTAATGGTTCTGAAGCTGGCTGGTAGTCAGGTTTCCCGAACTCTGTGGTAGCTCTCAGAGAGACTGAATCCATCAACAGCTGAAAAATATCAGAGTACTAACAGTGCCATGTTGCGCATGGATAGTGTCCCTTTTCATACTTTTAGTGTGCATTATCAACGCCACATTGAAGCCCTTTGTTATGGCTTAAGGTTTATTAGTGGAAATGAGGCTATTGCTTGGGCTATTAAACAGTGTACTGAGTACTATCTATGTTTCGAGTCAAGTTCTTTAACAAATTTAAAAATGAATAAAGTAACAAAAACTATAAAACACAAAAAACCACAGTCATCACCAAGTTCGCTAAACCTATCATTTACCAATATTCGTGGTCTTCAAAGAAACTTTTCTTCTGTTGAGTCTTATCTCTTGCAAAGTTCACCAGACCTACTTGCTCTTTGTGAGACTAATTTGAGTTCAGCTGTCTCATCTTATGAACTTAGTGTTGATGGTTATCTTCCTTTAATTTGTAAAGAATCCAACAGTCACATGCTTGGACTGGACATTTACATTCATAAGAATTCACCCATTTATCGGGAAACTAGGTTTGAATCCACAGACTACTCTTTTATGTAATTTCGTTTAGCACCACTTCACTCTATCACCTTTCTCTTTGTTCTATATCGCTCTCCCTTATCTCAAGACTACACTCTTCTTGATGTTATTTCTGATTATATTGACCAAGCCCTCATTCTTTATCCACCAGCCAATATTGGTGACTTGTTGGTGAATGTTCATCACACTGAATGGCTTGGGTCTAGTGTCAGTGACTCTGCAGGCATTAAAGCCCACAACTGTTCTCTTTCTCAATCCCTAACTCAAATAGTCAACTTTCTAACTCGCTTTCCAGACCACCCGAATCATTTACCTTCTCTACTCGACTTATGTCTTGTTTCTGATCCTAGTCAGTGCTCAGTTTCTTCACACTCACCCTTAGGTGCTTCTGATCATGGTTTGGTCTCTCTAAAACTATCATCTCATTCTTCTTTACCATCAGAATCCCCCTATCATCATACATCTTACAACTACCTTAAAGCTGACTGGGACTCTTTCCGTGACTCTTCGTGATGGCCCCTGGGTAGAAATCTTTCGTCTCCCTGTTGACAAATGTAATTCTTACATAACTTTGTGGATTCAGGCTGGCATGGAATCCTTTATCCCCTCTCGACAATTCCAGGTCAAGCCTCACTCTTCTCCATGGTTTTCCTCGCATTGTACTGCTGCAATTGCTAATTGAAACCATTACTTTCATAAGCAAAACAATTCTCCAGAAAACAGACGTCTGTTTATTACTGCAAGGAACCATTGTAAAAAGGTTTTGTCTAACGCCGAAGCATCACAAAAGTTAGGCTCTCGTGACTTTTGGAGAATCTTTAATAGTATCAATAATAGGGGCAAGTCTGTAATTCCACCTCTTTTGTATGGGTCAGACTTTGTCACCTCACCTAAAGACAAAGCTGAATTGTTTGCTAAGAACTTTTCATCAATATCATCTCTTGATGCCACTAGTTGCGTTCTACCTGATATAGCCGTCAAACAGGTTGATCCATTGCTCGACATTCGCATCACTCCAGCTTCTGTATCTGAAGTGATTTCCCGCTTAGACTTTTCTACAGCTTGCGGCCCGAACAACATACCTGTTATAGTCTTGCAGAAGTGTTCTCCGGAGCTGTCATCTATCTTTTCAAAACTATTTAACATGCGCTTATCAGAGTATTGTTTTCCAGCCTGCTCGAAAGCAGCATCTGTTATCCCTATTTTTAAAAATTCTGGAGAGCGATTCAATTCGTCTAACTACCATCCCATTAGTCTTCTTCCTATCATAAGCAAGGTTTTTGAATCTTTAATTAACAAAAACTTAGTCTCTCATCTCCAATCACATAATCTACTTTCTGATCATCAATATAGATTTCGATCTTCTCGTTCTAGGGCTGATTTGCTATCAGTAATAACCAATAGGTTTTATCGCGCATTAGATAAAGGTGGAGAGGTTAAGGCCATCGCTCTTGACATTTCTAAAGCCTTTGATAAAGTTTGGCATGCTGGTCTTCTCCATAAGCTTTCTTCTAACAGTGTATCTGGAAACGTCATTAAGATTATTGAATCTTTCCTTTCCAATCGTAGTATAAAAGTTGTCCTTGATGGACAGTACTCTTCTTCTTATTCTGTAACCTCAGGGATTCCCCAAGGTTCAATTCTTGGCCCTATACTCTTTTTAACTTACATTAATGATCTTCCAGATATTCTCACATCTAAGGTGGCATTGTTCGCTGATGATACTACCATTTATTCTTGTCACGATAAGAAACCAACTCCCTCTGATTGCTTGCAGGGGGCATCTGAGCTTAAAAAGGATCTCACTTCTGGTAAAGCATGGGGCTCACAGTGGCTGGTGAACTTTAATTCAGATAAAACTCAATTTTTTTCGGCCAATCATTATCGCAATAGTTTAGACCTTCCTATATTTATGAATAGTAATGTACTCAATGAGTCTCCTGTACTGCATCTTCTAGGATTAACTCTTACTTCTGATCTTTCTTGGAAACCTTATATCAAATCTGTTGCAAAATTAGCATCTGCTAAAGTTACTCCTCTTTATTGATCTTGTCACTTTCTTACTCTGGATTCTATTCTCTATCTCTATAAATCTCAAATCCGGCTTTGTATGGAATACTGTTGCCATATCTGGGGTGGATCTTCTAATGATGCCCATTCTCTTTTAGACAAGGTGTAAAAACGCATTGTAAACATAGTTGGACCTGCTCTTGTAGCCAACCTTCAACCTCTGTCACATCGTCGTAATGTTGCTACTCTTTCTCTTTTCTACAAATATTTTAATGGGCACTGCTCGAAAGAGCTAGCGTCTCTTGTGCCATCTACTAAAATTCATTCTCGTGTTACTTGTCATTCAATTAAGTCTCATCCTTTTTCTGTTACTGTTCCTAAGTGCTCCAAAAACTCTTATTCGTCTAGTTTTTTTCCTCGAACATCAGCTCTTTGGAATTCGCTTCCTTCATCTTGCTTTCCTGATTCATATAATTTACAATCTTGTAAGTCGTCTGTCAATCGTTATCTTGCTCTACAACCTTCATCTTTTCTCTTCCAGTAACTTCCAACACTAATTAGTTTTTGCTTGCAGCCTTGTTGGAAGCAAAGATAATTAAAAAATATATATATACATATATATCAGTAATGATAATATATCAGTAATGATAATATATCAGATATAAAATTCAAACTTTATTTTTCTAAATATACCTGAATTTGTTATAATTGTAAATATTGAGTATATTTTATGAATTTGTAACTTAAGTTTTTATCACAACAGTGTTCTGTTTTTGAAATGTTAACGAATTTATTAAATTACTGTTAAAATAAATGTTAGCTGCTTCATTAAAATATCTTATGTACTATTTAAATATTAACAAACAAAAAAGTTATAAACATAGTGTAAATAAGGTAGCTATTGTTAAAACATCAGAGTTTGTTGAACTAAAAGGAGACATTTAAAATTATCAGAGTTTATTAAACTAAATGGAGACACATTTGGAGCTATTTTCTAGCTATTTTTTATTAAAACAAGATATTTTAATTTTAAAATGTCTTTTTCCAAATTTTTTTTTATAAAATATTTTTTATAAAATATCAATTTTTTTATATTATTAGGGCCTTGAATCAATCATTGATTATTTGCATTATTGCAGACTGACATTGATTTTACAGACAAATTAAACAGACAATCATTTGACAATGATGAAACAGGTTTTAAAAGCTACACATCAGAATTTCAAGCAATTTTAGAATTAAAATAAATAAGACAGCTAGATTCTAAATGCTGCTGCTTACAATATTGCCCACTGCTGCTGCATACAATATTGCTGCTGAATACAATATTGCCCACTGTTGCTGCATACAACATTACATACAATATTGCCCACTGCTGAAATAAATAAAGATTTTTATAATTTGTTATTATCCTAAATTGTGGGTTTTTTATTGAAACATTTATGAGGTTTTAAAACAACCTAAACAGCAAGAAATTTCAATTTCAATGAAAATACTTAACAGCAAAATTAATAAATAAACTTTACTTATTATTTAAATTAATAATTTAAATAATATTCTACCTTAAGCTCCACAAGTCGTGCATTGCAATGCTGTGGCAACATTTTTTTCTTTTTAAAAATGCTTTCTTTCTCTGGATGAATAAGGTTACATAAATAATCTCTTTCTGAGATATGTTTTCTTTCAAGTTCATATAAAAGTACATCCTAAAATAAGATAAAATAAATAAATAAAAAGTAGATCCTGAAAAAATAAAAAAAAGTTATTTATACTTTTTTGTTAATTTCTGATTTTATTTTTTAAGGTAAAAGATTTTAGTTTAAAAGTTAAAAGCAAAAAATATTATTTCTCAAGCTTTAAGTTAATTAAAAATAACCAAATAAAAAAAACCTGTAAAATTAAAAGATCATTTTCTAGACCAGCTTCTATTTTTTTATAACTCTCTCTCAGCATTTGCTCTTCTTCGGAATATTTTCCATCTTTAAAAAAATCAAGACGCTTTTTTGCAAGTTTTTCTTGAAGGTGTCGATCATTATTAATTCTAAATTAAAGGTGTCGATTATTATCTATTCTAAATTAAAAGGTATCAATCATTATCTATTCTAAATTGAAGGTGTCGATCATTATCTATTCTAAATTGAAGGTGTCGATCATTAGCTATTCTAAATTGAAGGTGTCAAACATTATTTATTCTAAATTGAAAGGTGTTGATCATTATCTATTCTAAATTGAAGATGTTGATCATTATCTATTCTAAATTGAAGGTCTCAATCATTATCTATTCTAAATTGAAGGTGTCGAACATTATTTATTTTAAATTGAAGGTGTCCATCGTTATCTATTCAAAATTTAAGGTGTCAATCATTATTTATTCTAAATTATAAATTGTGTAAAATAATAATACTGCTAAAAGTTTTAATAATTTTTAACAAAATATATTTTTTTATTGATAATTAAATAAATACTTAGATGAAAATGATATTTCCTGACACTTCGATGTCAAGATTCTCAAAACAGCTGTGTTGTAGTTGCTTTCCAAAAATGTTTGTCGAGCAGTATGCCACAATCGCGCCAATTTGAGTTGTCGAATGATTTGAGTATTTATTTTTGGATCTTTACTTTCTAACATTGTTAATAATGTTTTTTTTTCCGCTTCACAAATCTCCTGATAAAATTTCAAAATTAAAAATGTAAAAAAAAAAGAAATTAATAATGAACAAACAAAAACAAACAAAAAAACTTTTTACCCCTTAACTATATTCTAGATTTACCCCTGCATACACACACACACACACACTCACACACACACACACACACACACACACACACACACACACACACACACACATATATTATGTCATAATTTTTTTTTATCAATAATAAAATTTAAAAACAAACTTTTAAATCATTTAAAATTCCAGTCGATTTTTCCATAAGTTTTTTTTCTGATTTTTCATATTCAATTAGTTCTTCTTCTTTAATTTCTTGTTTCGTTTTGCCTTCTTCATTCAATTTTTTGAATTTAACTGTTGCTTTCATTAAACGCTCTTCTTCTTCAATATAAGTTAGCCCAAGTAAGACATGACAATTATTATCATGAACAACCAAGTCATTTAACATTTTTTTTGCATCTTCAGTTTTACCTTTAAAAATAACAGAGTATCAAAAAAAGCTTTTTTTTATTTATAAACAACATTTAAATTTAAAATGTTACCAATATCATTCAATCTTTTTTGCTCTTTTTTAACCTTTAGCAGTTCACTATATTGGTCTCGCCAATCCAAAGTTTTCCAAGCTACTTTGCCAAATTTTTGTTCTAAGCCATTCATAATAAGTTTGTCCTCCAATGCAACAAACTTCTCTAACAAACCATTTATGAAAATAGAACTATCATTAATGTTTAATTCATAAATTGATAACACCAAAGAAATATTTGGGAAAAAATGTTGTTGACACATGAGCCTTTCTTTTTCTTTCATTTCGTTGATTTTATTCTCATCCTGTAAAACATTTATTCTGATTTGTTATTATTACTATTATTTTTATCATTTTATGATTATTATTACTATTATTATTATTACTATTATTACTATTATTGTTAATATTATTATTAATATTACTAAAATTTATGCAACAATATACGGTCTTGATAAACAACAATATTTGACAATTTATAAAACATTTGGTATCTACCATTTCTGTAACAGATTTCATAATATCATCAACCTCTTGATCTTGACATTGTTGTAAGTCTGCTAGTATACTTATCAAAATCTCATCTTGAGAGTTTCTCGTCAGCTTCATAGAATTCATTTTATTGGTAAATTTTAAAACAGCCATTTCGTTAACTGCATTTGGAAATTTATCTTGAAGAAAAATAAAAAGTATCAATAAACAAAACTTATACTATGATCATTATAATGTAATGATGACATCATTACTAAAGACTTTTTATAATGTAACAATCAAATGATAATAACATCTATATTTTATACTATTTGTTACAAAATTTATTTTTATTTTTTATATAGTTTTTTAGTTTCAGAATGATTGAACTTTCTAGTAAAAATAAGATGAATTGGGTTATAGAAAAGCTGAATTGGAGTAGCAAAAAAAAAACGCATTTTTTTTCTTTGGCATTTTTTCGGTAAAAAAAAAAAACAATTTTTTTTTGTTATTTTTGGTATTTTTCTCTTGCTTTTTAAGCTTTTTTTTAGCAATTTTTTAGTGTTTTTTTGGCATAAATTTTGAAATAGTTTTCTTTTGTTCAAGTATATTTTTAGTATATGATCATTAATAGCACAATAAACACCAATTTTACAATTTTTAATAAAAAATTAAATTAGCTATAGTTAAACTAGAAGTTATAATTCTAAGTTGTAAGCAATCTAAGCATACTGTATGCAATCTAAGCATACTGTATAGAATCTAAGCTTACTGTAAGCAATCTAGGCATACTGTATGAATCTAAGCATACTATATGAATCTAAGCATACTATATGAATCTAAGCATACTGCATGAATCTAAGCATGCTGTTTTTTTATCATTTTTATAAAGCATGTTTATTTATCATGTATTTCCTAACAACTATGAAATTCTCATCATATATGCTCATCTTATAAAATATTATCCATCTTACAAATTAACATCCATCCAGTGGCTGGATGGATGATAATTTATAAAATATAGAAAGATCACAAAATGTAAAGTTATATTGTAGCAAAACATTATATTTTAAAATAGGGTAAAAATTTCTCAAAAAACACAAAAAAACACAAATCTGTACCCTATATCACTAAAATTTTTGAAACTTAGCACAAATGTTTATAGACATATGTTAGGAAAGATTGTAATTTTTTTTCATAAAATTCCTTACCGTTTATAATTTACAGCAATTTGAAGATTCCTTGATTTTGACTAAAATCTGAGGAGGGAAAAGTGCCGAAAATCATTCCGTTTATTTTCACCTTAATATGGTGCTTGTAGTGATGCCACAATTCTGAAACTTTGTACCAAAAGAGTTTAAAATCTGTTAAATCCAAAAAATATAGTTTTTTTTTCAAAACAAGAGAATGTGGCTTATTTTAAGAGTCAAAACAAGAGAATGTAGCTTATTTTAAGAGTCAAAACAAGAGAATGTAGCTTATTTTAAGAGTCAAAACAAGAGAATGTAGCTTATTTTAAGAGTCAAAACAAGAGAATGTAGCTTATTTTAAGAGTCAAAACAAGAGAATGTAGCTTATTTTAAGAGTCAAAACAAGAGAATGTAGCTTATTTTAAGATCCATAAAACTTTATAACGCCGAGAAAAAAGAGCATTGAAAATTTTAGCTATAAAAAAAATCTGACTGATGTAAAAAAAATTTAATTTTGATTTTCTTAAAAATAAGATCAACACCTACTTTTTGAACCAATTTTGTTTTGGCCTTATATTTACTTGAGGAATTATTAATGTTTGATATAGACACAAAATTTTTTAATATTTTATAAATTAGACACTTAAAATAACCCCACCTTTTACCAATCTATCAAATTAGAAACTAAAAATTTAGTGACTTTATTATCTTTTTCATTTTCATATGATATTTACAACAAAATTTAAACGTATATAAATTTTTTTTTAAAAATACTAAACTTTAGTGATTTTATATATGCTTTACATTCACATTATTTACAAGTTGGTTCACAAAACATATTATTTAAAAAAAGAATGGATAAGATGAATAGCACAGACGCATACAGAATGTGTTTCTGAGGCACCAATAGTAATACACCATTTAGGTCGCAAGGTGCAAAACCTTGAAAATCCTATTTTCATTTCTGGGTTCTTGGTTTTAAAGGCAACAAACAATTCCTTTAAATTACATAAGAGCAAACGTTTTTGCATGTGGACATTTTTCTTTATGCTTACATAGTCCTTTTTACCAGGCATTATACGGCTATGTTCATCGTCTTCGTAAAAGGTCTTGACCAGTTGAACTGTTACATCAGGAAGAGCTTTTCCTAATTTAGGATTAGGCATGGTTAAAATACCTTTTTCTAATGTTAACTTACATGCAGTTCGAGCTCTACAGTTTGTTACATGCAATGTTTCAGATACCTTTTTTATTGACCAGTCTGTTGGAGCAAGTGTCGCAAGTTGTACTTTTTTTGATGTTGATGTAGACTCTGTAATTTTGTTAGTTAACAATACCATCATGTTATCAAACAAGTTTGCTTTTTCCATATACTCATTATTAAAACTTGACTGTTCTTCAAAACTTTTTTCTGATATATTAAGGGAAATGGGTACCTTTTTTTTAATGGAGGTTGTTAATGCTGTCAATTTTTGTTTACCTTCTCTGATTTTACCTGACTTGTGCAATCCTTTGACCTTAATTGGAGATACTCCGGCAGATGCAAAGTGTGTATCTACACTTTTTTTTTTTATTCTGAATGGATCTTTTATTAACAATATCAAAATCTTCATCATTTTTATTTTCATTTATACTTTTTGATAAACATGTCATAACTTTACTTCGACAGGTTGGACACCTTTTTTTCCAGGTATAATATTTAAACCTATGGTTTCTGCTTCTAACACAGTATGCATTGTAATCACACGTAGAGATGCTTAAAAAGAAAGTAACTACATTACTTAAATAACATTAATTATATATATTATGTAATTATATTACTATACAATTTGTTATATTAATAACTATGAAACATTGAACAAATCTTATTACCAAAAAAACTTATATGACTTATTAATAATGATATTACCTAATGAAATATAAATATATAAATTTTTACCTCTACACACCTTTTGGTGACTCAGAAATGGATTACAGCAACTTTTCTGATTACCCTCATATCTTACAATCTCTCAACTATGTTTTGTAATAACTTTGTAAATTTTTTACTAAGCTATTACAAAACAAAAATAATTGTATTTGTATTCAAAATATATTTTCAAATTTTTTTTTTTGTGCAAAATATCTTTAGAAAAATTGAAAAACTAAAACATCAATAACTCCTTGATAAAAGATAAGGCCAAGTAAAAATTGGTTCGCAAAGTAGATATATGCTTAATATTTAAAATAACGAAAATTAAAACTTTTTTTCATCAGTCAGATTTTTTCTAGAACTATAGTTGTCAATGGCCTTTTTTATTGTCATTAACAAGTGCGTTTTGTGGATCTAAAAATAAACTATATTTTTTTTTTTTGAGAGATATAAGTTTATGATTTTCAGATTCAACAGGTTTTAAACTCCTTTGGTACCAAGTTTTAGCTTCGCAACATTACTACAAGTTTGTTAAAAGGGTAATGGTAAATTGACATACTTCCGGCTTTATCCCCCCTCTTTTTTCAGTCAAAAAATAACTAACTTCAAGTTGCTGTAAATCTTAAAGAGTTGAGAATTTTTTGAAAAAATTTTACAGTCTTTCCTAACTTATATCTTTAAACATTTGTGCCAAATTTCAGCGAATTTGGTGATGCAGGTTACAACCCCTTTTTTTTTGAGAAATTTTTACTCAATACAATTTGTTCATTTTTTACCTTTAGTCATATTGTTGATATCAAATATATTAATAAAAAATTATTAGAACAAAATTATTTAAAAAAATAATATAATAAAAGTAAAAAAATATTATTAGAACATAATTATTCAAAAATTTTCTGAATGCCACCTAAACAGAAGTTATGATAATGCTACCTAGATCAAGACCATTTGGAAAAATCAGTATAATGCTCAAAGTTATATTAATAATTACTTAAAAATAAATAATAATAAAAAAAAGATAGTACTTATCATTTCCGTGTCCACCCGATAAAAAAGCATTTATCGGGTGGACACGGAAAAATCCGGTCATCTTTAAATTGAGATTTCTCCAAAACCACAAATGCTTTTTATTTAATTTTTTTTTTAATTAAACCTTACTTCTTTATCTTAAATGATGTTGATAAATTTTTGTTTACAAGTTAATGATTTGCAAAATGTTTTGGAAACAAGTTGAGGTGCGTAAAAAAGTTGTGAATTTTTTTTGCAAAAATCCATCGACTATCTATCGCTTGATTGCTAAACCCACAAATGTCCCAAAATCTACAGTCATAGATATTATAAACAAGTTCAAGACTACTCAAAGCTTTGAAAGAAAACTTGGAAGTGGAAGAAAAAAAACTTTCCATAAATCCAAAAAGGTAAAGTCGATTTTATGTTCAATAGCAAGAAATCCAAATCAGTCACAGCGAGATCTAGCAAGAAAATTTAAGACTTCTCGTTCTTATATCAAAAAAGTACTTAAAAAAACTGGAATTAAAGCATTTCATAAAAAAAATACACCTAAGAGAAGCTTAAATTGTGAAATTAAAGGAATTCGACGCGCAAAGAAGATAGTTAAAATAATGGCGGGTAAAAATATGTGCATAATTGAAGACAACAAAACGTATTGCAAGGCGGATTTTTCACAACTTACTGGTCAACAGTTTTACTATGAAAACAAAGATAAACCTGTCGATGATCAATTTAAATATATTCGACGAGAAAAATTTGCATCCAAGTTCCTTGTGTGGCAAGCAGTTTGTAGCTGTGGTATGCAGTTGTCTTGTTTTGTCACTAAAAAGACCTTGACTGCCAATCTCTACATCAACAAATGCCTCCAAAAAAGACTTTTGCCTTTTATAAAATAACACAAATACCGATGTCTCTTTTGGCCTGATCTTGCTGCCTCTCACTATTCTAAAAAAAGTTTTACAGTGGTGCAAAGATAATAATGTGAAAATTGTTCCTAAAGATGCGAATCCTCCAAATCAACCTGAAGAGCGCAAGATTGAAGATTTTTGGGCAATAGTTAAACGAAGTTCTTAGTAAGACAGGTGGGCTAACAAATAATAACTTCAAAAAGGACAAAAAAAGTGGATTAATGCCACCAATATGGTGAAAAAAGAAAAAATCTGTAAAATGATGGCATCAACCCGCTATAAAGTTCGATTTTTTGCCAAGTAACCCATAAAGCCCCTTAAAATTAAGTTGAAACTCTAATTTATGTAAACACATTTAATAATAAAAAAATTGAAATAAAAAGCATTTATGGTTTAAGAGAAATCTCAATTTAAAGTTGACCAGATTTTTCCAAATCCACCCGATATAGCTTATTTCTATATTGTATACAAGTATGTACATGTACATACAGTAATAAAAATAATCAAGGCATTAAACTCACCTACTTCCAAAGAAATCTGTTTCCAATATTCTATGAACATTCTTTGTGTCATAAATGAAAAAAGCTTAGTTTCATCAATTTTTTCCAGAGAAATATTTTGAAAGAGCTTTACAAGATCCTGCAATAAATTAGAATTTATTTTATTCTAAATTTTTTTTTCATAAGATACTAGTATATAAAAAATATATTACATTAAATATATTTTAAAAAGCATTAACTCAAAGCAGTGGCACACACTTAAATTTTTAAATGGTAGTATTTTGTACTAATACCACATTCAAAATAAAATCAAATGCATTTAGCTTCTTTGTGTTTTTTGGCTATAAAAAAACTCACGAAAAAGCAACAAAAAAAGGATTAATTTATTACTACTGCAGCTAATTGTTCAAAAAGCACATGCATAAAAAAAACAGGCCTCAAATGTAGGAAAAAACTAACACTGTCTGAAGATGGACAGACACAAATTTATGGTGTGTTTCATCTGAATCACACCATAAGAGGCCTGTCGAAATTTTGATGATGCAAAATCATTTCAAAAATATATTTTGAATCATGTTAATATATAATACTTTTTCAAAACAACCAGCTTTCAGACTTAATTTCAATTAAAAATAAAATAAGGAAAATAAAAAAGAATCTAGAGGTGCTCGTATCTTCGGAAACCCCTGCTTAAACTCCCATTATTCTGTGTGTACCATTGTTCTATGTGTGACCATTGCTCTGTGTGTGACCATTGATTTGTAAATTGATGCAGCTTTAAAGCATTTTTTAAAAGGTTATTAAAAAAAAGTAATGACAATGATGATGATAATGATGTAATTTTTTATAATAATTACTTCTCTTTCAAAAGCATGCCTCTGTTCAACAGCGACAAATAATGATTCATGCAACTCTTTTTCATTGTCACAAACAATCGGTTCAACAAAAGAAGATTTTTTTTTACTTTTCAATCTCTCTAACCTTTCTTTAGCAAGCTGCTCTTGACGTTGACGATCATTATCAAATCTAAATATGGAAAATAAAAAAAGTCTAAAAAATATGTATAACATCTTTTTTTAAATAACCTATGCATTCATAACATTGTTACATAGGATAGACTGGAGTACACTAAGATAAGAGTAAGGCTTGTTCAGCTGAATTTTTTCAGGATGTGCACTTCATAATTCATATCAAAAAATAGTAGGAATCTAATTCTCTTTCCATAAAAGTATCAATTATGTCTAAGCAGTTATGTCTAAGTAAGTTTGGAGTGTGGTGCTTTTTTGTAAACTTTTGTTGAAGTAAATTTTAAAAAGTTTGAGCATTTGTATTCATTAGTGTTCAGTAGTACTGCTTCTAGTAAATTTCATGTTTAAAGCTTATTGTCTGAGTATTATTGTTGTATATAGTGTTGCAAAGTGTTGTATATAGTGTTGCAAAGTGTTGTACATAGTACTGCAAAGTGTTTTTAAAGAAATCCTCTTTAATTTATTCCTTAACCTAGCACAAATAGTGCACATTAGTCATAAAATAACCTTACACATACATTTTTAAAATTTATATTAAGCAATTTGGTTACATTAATAATAAAGAACTGTTTTTCTATAAATTTTTGAAAAGTTGTTAAACATATTTGGACAAAGATATGCTTTGTAAACAAATTGGTACTTTGTTAATGTTATGAGGGTATTATACAACATAGATAACAAAAAAATATCACATACTATTACATAATATTTGTTTACATAACATTTAAACTGAATACTTAATGCGTAATATTTAACTATATGCTTATATATACAAACATACTTATATATACTTATACTAATTTACATTTAAAATTGCATATTTAAAATTATTCTGTAAATGAGTAAAAATCGTAAATAAATATGCCATATTAAATATTGAATGAAATAAAAATTTGCATTGTAGTTAATAAATATAAAATAAATAAATATAATATTATTAAATAAATATAAAATTACTAAATATAAAATATGTAAAAAGTAAATATGTAAATATATAAGTATGAAAGTATTTATATATAAATTATTATTGCATACTTTAGTAATGTTTTTTAAAGTAATATTTGAAATTTTTTAGATTTTTCTAAAAAATTTTGAAATTGTTTGTAAGTCACACAAAAAGAAAATCAAAAGAAACAATGATATTGACAGTAATACAATTTATAAATATAAAATAAATAAATCTAAAGATTAGTAAAAGTTTAATAAACTCAAAAGACTCAAAAGGTTTGGAAGTCATTCTATATATAAAAAATTAAATTCTACATTTAATGCTTTATTTCAAACCAAAGCAGCACATGACAGCCTAGTAACTTTTTCAAATTATAACAATGATAACATATTTAGCTTGATGCTAATGCTAAAATAAATAAACTTGATAAAATAGCTACACTGAACGATTATCTCCTTAACACTGAATGATTATCTCCTTAATGAGGCAAAAAATTTTGGTAGAAGTTTGTTCAGCTAATTTGATAAGATCTAGCTTCATAACTTTCATGAAAGCCAATAATCAATCAATATAAAACTCCAATATATAACACTGTTAGGATACTTAGAAATAATATTTCTATTTTTTAGAGATATTGGTACAGATATATGATGATGCATGCAGCAGAAAAATTGCCTATTCTGAGTGTTCATAAAAGTTGAGTAAAAACAAATTATTTTTTATCGTTATTTAGACAATAGTCTAGTGCTTACAACTTGAACTAAGAAAGAATAATGAAGAGCTTACAAATTAAACCAAGAAACAATAATCTTGTGACAGAAAAAAAAACTACACGAATAAGAGTTTTCGGAGCACTTAGGAACAATCACAGAAAAAAGATAAGACTAAGTTGAAAGACCAGTGACACGCGAATGAATTTTAGCAGATGGCACAAGAGACTCTAGCTCTTTACTGCAGTGTCCATTATAGTATTTGTAGGAAAGAGAGAGAGAAGCATTAAAACAATGTGATAATAATTGGAAGTTGGCTGCAAGAGCATGCCCAACTATGTTTACAATGTGTTTTTTGTACCTTGTCTAAATGAGAAAAGGCCTTGTCTAAATGAGAGAAGATTCGCCGCAGATATGGCAACAGTATTCCACACAAGGACAGAATTGAGATTTATAGAAATAAAGAATAGAATTCAGAGTAAGAAAGTGTCGAGCACTATAAAGTGATGCAAACTAAGCAGATGCTATATTTGCAATGGATTTGATATATGGTTTCCAAGAAATATCGAAAATAAGAGTTAATCCTAGAAGATGAAGGATAGATGATTCATTAAGTACATTATCATTCATAAATATAGGAAGAATTAAATTGTTGCAATAATGATTGGCTTAAAAAAATTGGGTTTTATCTGAATTAAAGTTCACCAGTTACTGTGAGCTCATTGCTGTAGCAGAAGTGAGATCCTTTTCAAGCTCAAATGTCCCCTCCAATCAATCAGAGAGTGTTGGCTTCTTATCAAGACAAGAATAAATGGTAGTATTATAAGCGAACAATACCACCTTAGATGTGAGAGTATCTAGAAGATTGTAATGTAAATTAAAAAGAGTATAAAGCCAAGGATTGAACCTTGAGGAACCCCTAAAGTTACAGGAAATGAAGAAGAGTGCTGTCCATCGAGGATAACTTTTATACTTCGAATGAAAAGGAAGGACTCAATAATCTTAAAGATGTTACCTGATACACCATAAGAAAAAAGCTTATGGAGAAGACCAGCATGCCTAACTTTATCAAAAGCTTTAGAAATGTCAAGAGCAATAGCCTTATCCTCTCCACCTCTATCTAATGCATGATAAAACCTATTGGTTATTACTGTTAGCAAATCAGCTGTAGAACGAGAAGATTGAAATCCATATTGATGATCAGAAAGTAAATTAATAGATTCAAGATTAGAGATTAAGTGTTTGTTAATTAAAGATTCAAAACCCTTTTTCATGATAGGAAGAAGACAATGAAATAGTTGTTAGGCAAGTCAGATCGCCCTCCAGAATTTTTGAAAATAGGGACAACAGATTACAGTGCTTCTCAGAGCTTCTTATTTTCAGCATGCCAGAAAACAAAAATCTGATGAGCACTTGTTAAATAGTTTTGAAAGTATAGGTGACAGCTCCATAGAATACTTCTGCAAGACTACAACAGGTATGTTATCCAGACCACAAGCAGCAGAATAGTATAAGAAATCACTTTAAATACAGAAGCTGGAGTGATGGAGTGATACGAATGTAAAACAAGGGATCAACCTATTTGACGGCTATATTAGGTGGAACGCAACTAGTGGAATCAAGAGATAATATTGATGAAAAGTTCTTAGCAAACAAATCAGTTTTGTCTTTAAGTTAGGTGACAAAGTCTGAACAAGAGAGGTGGAATAACAGATTTGTCCTAATTATTGATACTACTAAAGATTCTCCATAAATGAGAGCCTAATTTTTGTGATGAAATATGAGATTTCATGACCTGAGAATAGCAGACTTTTGCATTAGACAAAACCTTTTTACAATGGTTACTAACAATCGTAAAATTACAACCACAATTCTTACTCTATGTTAAAGAAAAATGTATTACACTTAAATTCTTTCCACTACACTGTATCCAATAGTTATTAGAAGTGTGCTATTTTAAAAAGTTTTTAAACTCAGAATGTGATGGGTGATGGTTTTTGTAAAATATCATTTTGTCTAATAAAAAAAATTTATGAATATATTTTATAGGTATGTACTTTGTATATAACTTCATTTATAACTACTTCATTTATAATTTTTAAAAATTTAATTTTGAAAAAGTGTATACAAAACACAAAAACTAGGAAAATCAGTTTTGTTTTTGTTAGGAAATAAAGTTTAGGGTTTTAATTTTTTTTAATTATATTTTTTTTTAAGGCTTTAGATTTTAGATTTTTTTATTTATTCAACTTTTATAACTCTTATAGCTTTAATTACTTTTGACTTTTTCTGGCGCAACAACAAAAAGTTTTGATTGTTTTTGATATTTTATAGTAAAATGGCGCAACAACAAAAAGTTTTGATTGCGTTTGACAAAAATAACTGGTATATGAAAAAAAAAATGTTAAAACTAAATATAATTTGAAATCAAACTTAAACTATTAAATTACTTTTCTTGAGCTGTTGCTTTATTTTTTTCAGCAATTCCAAAAACCAATGATGCAGCTCCAAATTTTTCTTCTTGCTGAACTCTCCTTTGTTGTCGTTTAAGCTTTGCCAGTTCAGCTTGTCTTTCTTTTTCAGTTAAGTACTGTGAATCAACTCCACGTAAGCGATTTAGAAGTGCTTCTTTTTCTTTTTCATGCCTATTTGTAAGAATTCTTATGATTTCTAACCATTGTATTTTAAAATTATGTATTAAAAGTTTATAATTTATGTTACATTTACATTTAAATTATAATCTGAAAATAAAAAATATAAATTAAAAAATTAAACAAACATTTGAAGATTTACCTTTTCTGTAAATCTTCAAATAATGTTTTTCCATCAACGACAACTATGTTTTCTGCATTTTCTGGTATACTTGTTGGCATTTCTCCAGGATCTTCTCCTTTAGCAAGTTTTTGTCTGTATTGTTCAAGCCGTTTTTGTAAAATATCATTTTGTCTAATAAAATAAATTTATGAATATATTTTATAGGTATTTATTTTGTATATAACTTCATTTATAACTACTTCATTTATAATTTTAAAAAATTTAATTTTGAAAAAGTGTATACAAAACACAAAAACTAGGAAAATCAGTTTTGTTTTTGTTAGGAAATAAAGTTTAGGGTTTTTTTTAATTATATTTTATTTTAAGGCTTTAGATTTTAATTTTTTTATTTATTCAAATTTTATAACTCTTATAGCTTTAATTACTTTTGACTTTTTCTGGCGCAACAACAAAAAGTTTTGATTGTTTTTGATATTTTATAGTAAAATGGCGAGACAACAAAAAGTTTTGATTGCTTTTGACGTTTTTAAGTAAAATGTTGCAGAAATTTTGTTGCAGAGTTAATAATTTAAATTATTTACTAACATAATTTTGTTTTAACTCCTTTGGCAAGGCAGAAAAAACATTTTAAGGAGTTTAAAAAAATATATATCTTTAAGCTAAAAGTAAAAAGCTTTAAGTAAAAGTTTAAAGTATATAAAGTATATAACATTATTGAAAAACTTATGAAATTTTGAACAAATCTGTTTTCAGCATCTTTTATAAACTTTAACATCTTAAAGAAAAAAAAAATTTTTTTCCATAAAAATGTTAAAATTCATAATGGTGGAAAAGCAACAATTTTTTAGGGGTTTTCAAAAATATTTTTATACAAAGGTTTATCTAGAAGTTTATGATGAAGTCTTACCTAAAACTTTATATTAAAGAAATAGAGCCATATATGGGTAATCAGAATACCAAAAGATATTTGTTAAATATACTATTCATTATGGCCTTGCAGGTGGTTTATTGTTTTTGATGTATATCAGTAAAAAAAGGGGGTAAATAATATTATAATAATATAAAATAAGGAAAACATTAAAAGTTAATACTTTATTTCTTAAAAACTTTTTTCTTAAAAAGTCTTTTCTTTCTTTTTTTATTGAGTGTAGCAAACTTTACAGTTTTGTCTTTTGCATTCAAACAGCTCTTCTTCTTTCCCACTACTCATACTACCAAAAAAAGAGCCTAAAGGTGAGAAGTCTAAACCACTTTCATTATCATCACTACTACTAATACCACTAACAAAAGAGTCCAAAAACAACTTTCATTATCACTATGAAAATGTTATGAAAATAAAGTGGCAAGAAGTCATCAAACACCAGTGAACGAAATCCTCAAATACAGTGCCAAACACTAGTAAACAAAATCCTCAAATATTGTGCTACAAGAGTTAAAAATATAAAGGGTTAATACACAACATATTTTAGTTAAAGATTCAACTTGTGTTTGTAAAAATTTTCTTGGTTTGCTTGAATAAAATATTGAACTTTAACTTGAACTAAACTAAAAAAAACTATTTGTAAATTTTTTATTTAATCTTTGATTTTACTTTCAAGCTACTAAGTTCCACTTTCAGTTTATTAAGTTTACTAAATATAAAAGTATCCCAATTCCTCTATAATTTAAAAGTAAAAAAATTAAAAAAAAAAGTTTCTTCAAGTTTCAAATTCAACTTGCTCCACAAGAAACTACTAAAAGAAAACTTTGTTACTAAACTATTTGAATTAATTTAAATTAAATGGTAACTACAAACAACAGCATTTCAAATGGTAACTAGAAGCATTGTATGTAAAAAAACTTAAAATATTTAAAAATATCATTTGAGTTTTTTTATATTTTACAAACACAAAGTCAACTATTTACATCTGCAATAAGCAAATTATCTAGTTTTTGACTGTTACATATAGATTAGGCTATAATGTTAATATAATAATAAAAAAAAATATATATATTTTTTTATTTCATGTTCTATGGGCTTTTTACTAAATAAAAATCCACAAATAAATACTTCTTTTTATTTTCATCCATCAAAATTTGTATGTTTGTTTCAACTTGAAAACCATCTCCAAGTAAGCGAGCAGCTTCATCAAATTTTCCATCTTTCAAAAGCTGCTTCTGCTGAAGTCTTAACCTCATCATCTTTGCCTGGCGTTCTTTTTCTGAAAGTTGAAGCCATGCAGCATTACCTTTAAATATTAAAATAAAAAATGAAATGAAACCCTATACTTTCATTCGAAACAAATTGTGTACTAAAAATCACACTTTATTATCGTTGTTATTATTATTATTATCATTATTATGATATTAATTTTAATAATAAACTGTAACTATAGTTACAATAACTATAGGTAACTATAGGTACAATAGCAAGTTGCTCTAGATCTTACAACAGCTAGTGGATCTAGGTACAATAAAAAAAAGCTACTTAGTACCTAGGGCCACTAATCTCTAAACCTTTTTACAAACTTATATTTTAAATCACAAAGTAATTAGTATAGAGATGTGATTATATCAGTTTCACCATTTTTAGAAAAGTCTTGTTCTTGAATTGGTTTGAGCACCACTAAAGGATTTCCACACAAAAATATTTTAAGCATCATATCAATCCAACTCCATCAGGTCATTAATTTTCTTTTCATTGATTTCTATATTTTCAGATGGACATGTGATTACTAGTGAGCCTAGAAATTGGGCATTGAAAAATCCAGCCCTAGGTATGCAAACTTCCCTTAACCTCAAAAGTGATCACGTTAAAGTAATTATGCTTATTTATTTATTTTTTTTTAAATTCTAAATTCTAACTTTTTTTATTGGTTTTGTTGCTTATTCCTTTTTTTTTTTTGTTTAACTTTATTTATTGTTTTTAATTCTTTTCTATTTTATTTTGTTCCATTTTTTGTACATACAATGACTAATTTAAATAGGTAGAACATTTAATGGATGTATAAGAAACTTACATCATGAGAATATGCAAGGAATGTCAAACAAGGATGATTTCATACTTCAATGAAGGATTTAGGTTATCACAGGTAATTTTAATTCCAACCCAAACTTTTTCCCTAATGTATCTATACTCTCAGAATGTTCTCTCAATTTAAGTCACTTGATGAATGCAATTATTCATTCCATTGCAAAAATATCAATTAAATATAGAATAAATAAAGTACTCAATCCGCCCTTTTGATTTGTCATCCAAAAAAGAAGACTCAAATGTATCTACACACAAAAAAACAATCAGCATCAACAGTAGTGAGAAAAACACATTTGTCAACTGGAAAGAGGCTTGTACAGTTGCAGGGCTGTCGCATGTCACCCCAGTTTGAACAACTAGCAAATCAAATAGCACATAAATCAGCATTGATTAAAAACTATTTTCATCAGAATAAATCAACATCTCTCCATTACTTCAACGGCAATGCATTTTCACTCAATAAAAACAAATTTACTATACTCCAATTATTAGCCAAACAAAACAAATACAATCTAGTCTCTATAACTAATACTTGGTTCGACTTCTGCCCCATCAATCAATAACTATATGCCATTTAAGAAAAATAGAATCAGTAATGTAGGTGTGTAGTAATTTATGTTTAAAATTATATATTAATCAACTAGATAATTTACATTTTAACAAAAACCTAAAATGCAAAAAATCTGAATAACTTGGGGAAGAAATAAAATTACTATCAAAAATTTTTTAAGTAGGTTGTATTTATTGAGAGGAATTTGTCAACTGCTTCAGTACAATTAAATGAAGAAATTTGTGCTCTTGATAACACTAGATACTTATTTGATACAAAAGTATATAATGGTTTAACTGTGACAAATGAATTCGACTTTTTAAGCATAACTTTGTAATCTGACTGGAGTATCACATCTGATAATGAAAACAGTCTTGAATACAAGTTCAATGATGCTCTCTGTATTAACCACCTTTACCAGCGTGTCAATTGTCCAATTTTTAAAAAAACTGATACAAATTTCAACAACACAGTTGATCTAATTATATCAGATAGATCAAAAGATAGAACCAACAAAATTTTTAAAGGAACTTGATTTGGTACAGCCACTCATACACTCATACAGTACACACATACAGGACATACATCTCTCAGCTGGTAGCATAATTTAAGCAGTAGTAATCAAATTAGTTTTAACAGCAAAAAATGCCTTTACAAATACAGTGAATATAATGAAAAACATAAAAATTAAAATAAGATAAATTGGCAAGCTAAATTTATAGATTGCAATGTTCGAGAATGTTCCATATGGTTTAACTTCTATAATAAAGTTATAAGCTTTTTCAACCGCCAAATAAAAGGCAACCCTGAATCACAGACAAGTTAATGAAGCTAAATAGACTAAAAAAAGAGCTCTAGTACAAAAATGCAAACTTGAAGTGAAAAAATACAGACAAATGTCAAAAAGGAGGTGAAAAAAAACAGCAAACAAGCATTATGTGTCTGTGAATCATAGCTAGGTAACAACAAGCACAACCCAAAAAGATATATATTAATATTAAATGGATATTTAGCAATCAAATATAGGCCTTAACCTTAGATTCAAATCAAATGAGAAGCGATGGAATGACAAAAGCAAACAATTCTCCAATTTCATTCAATTTTTACGAAGGAACCACTGATTGAGCTACTAAAACGTTTTGCATCCAAAACAAACAAAACAAATGCTTTAACTCTGGATATAACTATTGATCTAAATATTTTTCTTAAACACCTAAAAACAAATGCTTTAACTTTGGATATAACGATTGATCAAAATATTGTTCTTAAACAACTAAAAACAAATGCATTAACTTTGGATATAACGATTGACCAAAATATTGTTCTCAAACACCAAAAAATGCTTGATAGAATTAAGTCAGTTTACTTTAAAAGCATGTGCTATATCATTGGCAGTTTTGCTAACTTGGAGTTTTCAAGTTTCAACAAAATTTAGCATAGTAAATCATGGCACACCTATTTATAAAAAAGACAGCATAACAGATCAAGCCAATTACAAGTCATAATCGATCATTTCTTAAAATATAAAACTTGAAGCAAAATGATGAATTCTTGAAAGCAAAATGATGAAACTCTTGAAGAGAGACAATCTTATATAACAATATTTTATACAAAATTTTACAATTTAAACCTAATTGACTGGCACGTAAAGCCTTGCAGCATAGAATTTAGAGTTCAACTTTAAATTAGATTTCATCATGAGATTGTCAGGAAGTGCTAAATCAGACATAAATTTTTTTAACAGTGGTGTAGTCAATTACTGAAATGCTTTGCCAGATAATATTGAGTAAAGTACCAGTTGATAAATTTAAACAACTAGTGGATTCAATCATTTTAGTTACTACATCTTAACTAAAATTTATTTTATGTTGAAAAATATCATTCATATCAATTAGACTATTTTAAATAGGTAGAACATACAATCAATATTCATACATTGAGGAATTTAAATTAGAAGAGCACACAAGGAATGTACATAAATTAACTAAGGGTTTGGGTTATTACAGGCAATCTTAATTCCAACCCTAACCTTTTCCCCAATGTATCTACACTCCCAGCATGCTTTCTCAGTTTAAGTCAGTTGATGCACTCATTCATTCCAGTGCAAAAATATCATGTAGTAAAATTCACAAAAAGGATTATGTTTTTAAACAAAGTTATGATGAAGATATAATGATAAAGGTCAAATGCTCAAATATCAAAGACATGGTAAAATGTCATGATAGACAAATTATAGATACCACATGATAGATTTTATTACAAGGAAAAATAGAAAAAAAAATTACAATTTTAAGAGGGATATGAAGTTTTTTTTATTATTAGTTTTATTATTAGTTTTACTATTATCATTATTATTGATATTATTATTATTATTGCTATTATTTTTATTATCAGTATTATTATTAGTATTACTATTATTACCTAAAGCAATATAAATATACTGATATGAACAAAAACTTTAATTAAATTGTTTGGCCATTTTACCACGACTAAACAAAAAATTATTAGGATTAATAAAATCCTAATAATTTTTTGTTTATATAATAAATTTTCTTTTCTTTGAAGTTTGGTCTGGTTGTCAAAAATGACAGCCCGACTTCAAAGAAAAGAAAATTTATTATATTATGGTACAGGAAGTGTGAAAATGCATTTGAAGTGCAAAGACAAGTTAGAATAACTTTCAAAAAAAACCTATAATACAAATTAACAGAAATTAATTTAAAGTTGACTAATAGAGATTAATTCAAAGTTGACTAATTGAGTACTGGAAACATTATTCAGAATAATTTTGACAAAATGGTGCACCTCAACAACACTGTGGCATTGATAGATGTTTTCTAGATGAGATCTTGCCAAACAGATTGATGATGAAGAAAGTATACTAATAATACAATTAAAAAGCTTTTGAAAAAATAAAAAATAAATATTGATACCCATTTGTTTCTGCAAGGCTTCTAATGTTAGCTTATCCATTAAAATGTCATACTTCTTGTCAACAGCTTTTAAAAGCTCCTCCTCTTTTTCTCCACCAATCAATGTAAATATTACTTTTGAAATATTTGAAGCTGTGCATTGATTCTGCTCCTCGATATATTTATTTCGTAAGATTAATAAATCATAGAAGCTCTATTAAAAAAAATTAATAAATCAAATAAATTAATATAACTATTCTGATTTTTACTTGCTGAATGAAACACAAAACATTGCGAACTTTTTGAATTAATGAAAACTAAAATAAATTAATACATTATATCTGATTTTTTATTTGTCCATACTGATAGCATAAATACTTATAACTTATCCTTAGTAACAACACACAAATAATTTCTTTTTAAAAAGTCCTTGTACACTCTCTTTACTTTTGATTTTTTTCAAATCTTTTATAATATAAAATAATATTCAAAATGCAATACAAATTAAAATAACTACAGAAGGTTCTTCAAACAATTTTATTCCTGATACTTCCATGATCTCCTGGCTCTTTCCTTTCATTTACCTCATTTTATCTCACTCAATTTAACTCTACCATTCTCTATACCAGCTAAAAGAGAGCAGATAGAGCCAACTGTTAAACTTATTTTTTGTACCTTTGAACATAGAATGAACAAAAAAAAATTAAAATTGCAAACTCTACACTTTCACTGAACCCAAACATAAAAGTTAAAAATAAATCAATTGAATTTTTGCACTATTTTTATATAGCCTAGTTGTCTACAAAACTAAAATTAAACTCCATGAATAATTTTTTTTTTTAACATTCTGTAAACTAATGAAATCAAAAAATAATTTATCAAACTCACACCACATTCTTCACTCTGCCACTTTGTCACCAAATAACTCAACCTTTTTCGATCAGAAACAGGGTGATATTCACTAACTGTCTTAAATATTTGACTTTTCCCTGGCCGTATAACCTTAATCCAGAATGCTTCTTTACTGAGAAATATTTTATCTTATATTAAATTCTGTTTTTTTTGTTAGTTGTTTAATTTATACATTTTATTTATATAGATAGTTCTACAAGAAAATTGGAAGTCTATCATAGAAAAAATAACAACAACAATAAAAATAACAACAACAACAACAACAGCAGCAGCAACAGCAACAACTGTATTATAAGTATAATAAACTAAATTATAAATTATCACAAAAAACTATACTTAACTATGTAACAGAAATATTTATATATCTAAACTTAAAAAAACTGATTGTAAATATCACCAAAAAAATTAAATAGAATTATCACAAAAAAAAAAACTATAAACCATTACATAGCATAAATAATATATATTTTTGAAAACTCACTTTATTTGGAAGAGAATTAAGTAAATTTTCTGTTTCAACATCTTGAACTTGCTGCAAATCTGCCATTATTGATACAATAATACCATCTTTTGTAAGAATTTCATCAGAATTTTCTTTTAAAAATGATTCTGTAATTGCATACTTTATAGCAGCAGCCATTTCTAAAATAGCTATATGTTCCTCCTGATCAGCTAAATAAAAATAAAATTAGTTAACATTTTTTTAAACTATTTCTAAAATATATCACACACTTGTGACATGTTGCACAAATATATATTACAACACATAGCATATTATATATATAACATATAAGACATATATCACAACCTAGCATGTTATATATGTAACATATAAGAAATATTTACCACAGTACAACATGTTATATATGTAACATATAACACATTTTACAATATAATACATATTACAACTTACATTTTGTTTCTAAATCTAGATCATCTTTTTTAGCTTTTAAAGCAATCAACTGTTTGTTGCGTGCATCTTCATTCATTTGACGGGCATCATTTCTTAAACTCTTGGTCTCTTCATCTTCTAGGATATTAAAAAACATATTTCGTTCTTTCTCATGTTTTCGCTCTAGTTCATTTATTACAAAGTCTTGCCAACCATTTAAATCATCTAAATATATATATAACAGGTCATCCATAAGTTATTGGACAAAATAAAAATGCCAATATCTTATTCATAAATAAAAAAATAACTATTTTATATTTTTTTTAAATAAGGTATTTATCTTTTAATAAAAATCAGTTAATTCTTATATGAAAAAACAACATCAGAAAGCAAAAAAAACCTTACATTTTGTACAAATTTTTGATGCAACCATATATTTAAAATTTAATTTTGAGTAATAAAAAAATGTTTTAAAAGAAAAACTGAAAAAACAATTGCAATAAAAATGAGCTAATTTTTTTTTAAGAACAAATTAAATTCAAATATTGAACAATATTTAGTAATATTTAAAAAAAAATATGACAGTTAAGTTAAAATCAAGCATTGACTTTAATTTAAATAAACTTGAATATATTTTTTAAATCAAAATTTAATTATATATTTTTTACATCTAAATTATTTTTTTTTTTATCAGAATAAAATTATATATTTTTGTTAAATTAGTTTTGAATTAATTAATTTATTTTTTTATCAGAAATAAATTACATTATAATGATCTTTGCTCCAAGCTTAAAGCATTAGCGTTTTTCAAGCGAAAAAATTGATCATTACAAAAAAAAAAAAAAAATTAAGTAGAAATTATTTATTACTATAGAAATAGAAATTTAAGTAAATTTTTTTAATGCAATCAAAAGTTGCATAAACAATTCTTGTACTCTCAAGATGATAAATAAAAGTTTTTATTATATATATATTTTTTATGTTTTCTTTTATTTTTTTAAAAACTTCCCATTAAAAAAAAAACAATAATCTTTCCTATAAACAAATTTGTTTTCTGTTTGATAAAATAACTAGCTTAATAAAGATTAATTTTTTGTAGCTTTTATTTTTTTTTAATTAGAAAATAGCGCATTTAGTTTTATTCATTAGCACTTCATCTAACATAATTGTCATTCAAACTTTTTTACATAATCGTCAAAGTGGTTTTTTATAAAATTAATTACTTCTTTTATCTTACCACTTAATAGAGTAATTTAAAAGTTAAAAAAATATCTTGTTAAACACATTCAGCTGATGGAAAAGATGCTTTTTGGACTTATTTGAGGTCAGAAAGTTAGCGTATGAGCTGGCAGTTAAAAACAATAAGAAACACAGTTTTAATAATGACCTTGGCATTGCCGGTTATGACTGGTATAAAAGTTTCATGGAGAGACATTCCAAACACTTGTCACTTCATAAACCGGAGGCTACAACAGCTGCTCGTGCCATGGGGTTTAACCAAGTGGCTGTGGATTCTTTTTTTCTTTACTGGAAGAGGTTGTGGATACAAACAAGCTACATTATGAAAATATATGGAATTGTGATGAAACAGGTAGTTCTACAGTTCCAAAGTGTTTCTTTAAATTGTTTCAACCAAAGGGAAAAAACAAGTTGGTTTTCTCACTTCAGCCGCTAGGGGTCAGCTTGTCACAGTCGTTATTTGCTCTTAAGCAAGTGGGAGGTACATGCCACCCATGATGTCTTTCCTTGTAAATGAATGAAACCAGAATTACTGGATGGAGCACCATCAGGTGCATGGGCTGAATGTCACTAAAGTGGGTGGATATAAAAAGAATTGTTTATTGTTGCTTAAGAAAATTTATTCAATATTCTTTGGGCCAAAATAAGTTTGCCAGTACTACTTATATTAGATGGACATAAATGTCACAGTAAAAGTATTGAGTTGATTAACATTGCAAGAGAGAATGATGTAATTATTCTGTATTTGCCTCCTCATTGCACACATTAAATGCAGCCGCTGGATTTGGCATTTATGAAGCCACTTAGCACTTACTATAACCACAATATCAGGAAATGGTTGAGAACAAATTCTGGATGCATGGTCACTCAACTTCAAATAGGTGCACTTTTTGACTTAGCCTACCTGGAAGCTACAACAATGACAAATGCTATTAATGGCTTTTAAAAAGCTGGCATATGGCCAGTTAATAGAAATGTTTTTTCCAAAGCAGACTTTCTGGCAGCAGAAACTACTAATATTAGTTTTATTGAAACAAAACTGTTGCTAATACATGTGACATTGCTGTTACTAGTAATGCCATCCATCTGTAAGTACCAGTCATCAAATGTTATCTGCAATCCAAATATCTGCTTTTAGCAGCAATATGATGTTTCTAACGTCCACACAATTGCTTCTACAAGCCAATCATCTGATTTTACCGGCATAATATCCACATCTTCCAGCATTTTAACTACTTCTACGAGCAATGTTAATACCACATCATTTCAAAAATCTCCAAGTCTTATAATTCCAATACCAAAGCAGTCACTGCAGAGGAGACTAACAAGGCAGAGAGGAAAAACTGCAATCCTGACCTCTTCTCCATATAGAGCCTCACTATTAGACACCCTGAGTATAAAGAGCCAAATCCTTCAAAAAAAGGAAAAAGGCTCAAAATGCGTAACAAAAATGGTTATGCATCAAAAGAAAAAAAGCTGAAGTAGATGGACAAAACACTGCATCTAAAAAGAAGAAAACAGTCAAAAATTCAGAGGAAGACAGTTCATGTCGCCTAGCTAGTTCAGCTAGTAGCTAGAAGACAGTTCATGTCTCCTAGCTAGGCACATTACTCTTGCGCTGGTTTAAAAGAAAATGATAAACAGTCAAACTTTATTTGTGAACTATGTCTAAACATTGAATAAATTCTAAAACATATGTTATTATTAGATTGTATACTCAATCTTTTTGTTTATAATGTCTCTTGTCATTTAAAACAAAAATTGTTTTGATTTTAATTATTTTTGACAGTTTTTTGATGACTTTTCCTTAAGTACTCCATTATACCCCACTTTATATATATATATATATATATATATATATATATATATATATATATATATATATATATATATATATATATATATATATATATATATATATATATATATATATATATATATATATATATATATATATCAACATCAACATCAACATCAACATCATCATCAACATCAAGTTTTTTACTTTTTGGGTTTGAGTTCTCTTTTAGTGTGCAATCCCAAATTTTGAATAAATTATGATACAACATTGCATTTTAACTCTTACTGTATATTAATCCAAAACCATGCAGTATTTTTTAAACTGAATTATATATATTATTGTTTACAAATAAAATAATTGAAGAATAAAGTAATAAACTTCTGGTTTATAATAACGTATTTGTGTTCACTATAGTAAAGACAAATTTAAAAAACAATAATAGTTCCAAAAAATCTTAAAAATTGTTAGAGTTTTAGGTTTCATTTATATTTCAGCTTCTTTGCAAAAAATTATTGTAATCTATAAAAAAAATTCATTGGTTTTTGTTTCCATCGTTTTTTGATGACTTGGTTCCATCGATCAACAAAGATTTCTGTGGCAGAGTAAACTTTGACCTGTGTTCAGAGACTACCTGCAACAAGAATTGCTTTTGTTCTTCATTTTTGGTAATTGAACAATTAAAATCCTGAATTAGTTTTACTCCTCTTTCAGCCGTATCATTAACAACTCGTAGACTTTTTACAATTTTTTCTGCTTGTTGAAACTCTTCATTTTCGGTCCACTTGTCAGGATCAACAGTTGTCAAAAAAGTAGTTGGTAATTCCAAAATGTTGAAAAAATTTAAGGTATTCTCTGTTACAAAACTTTCTATTTGCAGATTTTCAATTGAAGTTAAATCGATTTTTATTCTTTTCTGTGGTTCATCCTCTCCAGCATTATGTAGAGCCAAAACCATTTTTGCTTTTGTTTCCTTGCTGATCTCCTTATCAAAAAAAGCCAATGCTACCATTTCTTCACTTAGATACCATAAATGCCTCGAAAATGCTGTTGCTGCAGCTGTAAAAATTCCATTGTTAATGGCTTTATGTTGAAAAATAGTCTTCAAGAAAGTGAGATCATTCGACGAAGCAAGTGTTGAATTGGTACATGATATCCAAAATTTGGTGTACACCAAACTAGCAAACAAACTAATACCTCAAAGTGATTTTTCTTCTTTTGCCGTTTATTTGAACTGCCTTTTGAACATCCATATTTTCATTGAATATAAAATTTTGGCCATCCACCTTCCTCTGTGTATGGCTCCGGGAGCCATTACATGAGCCCCACGAGGAGGAACATCACCAAGAAACAACAAGGTTAGTTCCAACAATTCCTTGTAGTCATCTCGATGTTGTTTACCAGATTCAAGAATTGTTTTCAAATAAAATAGTGCATCCTGTTTGAGTATGGTGTGAGAAGCCAAAATGTACGAACATGTTTGATCATTTAACGCTGTTTCATAATTATTTTTGTCAATTAATGACCACTTGTCACGAAAACGTTTAAATAATCCTATTTCAGGACCACTGGATTGCCCAAGAGAATGCTTAAAAACATCACTCAAGACGATTTCATACATTTGATGACGGCATGCCAAGTGTAATAGTTCTCTATTAAGCTTTTTTTCAATTAAAGTACACGCTCCAGCTTCGGTACCAGTGTTGGCAGCCGTTGTATCAAAACTAATTGCTTTAACTCGGTCTTGAATGTCCCAATCTAGTAAAGTTGTTATAACAGCTTCACTTATTGCTTTACCAGTACCCCTTGTTAACTTTGGAATGCCAAGAAGCTGGTCAACGTTGTAACCTGTAACAACAACTGCTAATCGATCAACTGAATCTCTTCCAGTAATATTTGGCAATATTTTGCCGTCAAAATGAACAGTCAATGGAACATTTGACGAGTTGAATGCAAACTTTATGGTTGTAGCAATTTTGTTTCGATTAGTAATTCTAGCTCTCCGGATCGTATCGCAACTAATAGCAAAATCTGTAATGTCATGATTTAAACGTTTTGCTGCAGCTGCCAGTAAATAAGTCGCTTGGCGATCCGTGATGTTGGTTCGGTCAAGAGCAGATGCTAACTCAGGTGAAATGATATTTTGAGATCGCGATCGCTTTTTTACAACATTTTGATTAGATTTCTT